CTTTCCTTTCCTTTCCTTTCCTTTCCTTTCCTTTCCTTTCCTTTCCTTTCCTTTCCTTTCCTTTCCTTTCCTTTCCTTTCCTACAGTAAAACTATTCAAGTGATTCAATAAGCAGTTATAGGGAGTCTTGTAAGAGAAATCTCTATATTTGGCAGCTATCTCACACTATCATTCCCTTATTCCCCCCCCTTTTAAAAATACGCTTGGATTTATGCCTTTTACATAAATCGGCATCATTTTGTACCGGTGTGAGCTGTGTTTTGACAGTGTCCCCACTGCCTGCTGGTGAGTTTGCAGGTGCGCTTTTGATCACACCCGGCACGTGATTTTTTTCACCGAAATTCCTCCTCGGCATGCTCTGGCTCAAGCCATGGGTGTTCTGTGAGCTCACAGCCTGGATTCTGTTTGGAGGGAGCTGAACCGGGGCGGGCAACGGGCTCACCCTGACCCCCCCCCAGGGGTGGAGGGCACTGAACCTCTGGGTGCACATGGAAAAGGTTTTCTCCCTCGCTCTGCAGCCCCACTGCTCCTGCTCTGCTGCTGAACCTTGCCTCTGCACAGAGCAGCTCTGGGCGGCTCTCGAGGGTGGGCACAGCAGGTGCCTTTGGCCTCTGAGTCGCCCTTCAGAACTTTGCGGAAGGATTTGCCTCTGTTCGCTAAACGGAAGGACTTACGATGATTTCGGATGCTAATTTTGCCCTGTTGGCAGTTTTCATGATTTCATTTCAGTCTTAGCAAATTTAACAGCGCACGCTGCGCTGGGCCAAGTCCAAGCATTAACAAAGTTCAGCAAAGTGCTGAGCTATGCAAACTCTGCCCCAGAAAGGAAAACTACATTATAGACAGAGTATATATTTTTGTTGTCCTATTGGCGTTCAGTGCGCACTGGAGAGAATTAAATTCAGCTTTCTGGTTTGCTATTTGGAGCAGGGCAAGCGGCAAGGGTGTCTCAAGCAGAGGTGAAGCCTGACCTTTAAAATACTTGAGGAAAGCCACAGAAGAGTGAGCAAAAATGTGCCCAGCCAGCAAACACTCAGAGAACTGAACTGGTTTTCTTATTTTTTGGTTACACAATTCCAGTCTGATACACCCCTGCGGATTTGCTCGGCAGCCCTCCTCTAGCACTGCCATTGGATAGCTTTATCTAAAAGCACACACGTTTGTGGAAACCCTTTGCATTTTTAACATCAGAAGCGCTTGTGTGATCCCCAGCCATGGCCAGGCAGCAGTTGCCAGGGGATCAGCCCGCGCGCAGAGCGCTGAAGGCTGCCGGACCCCCCCAGACTGGCACAACAGCATCTCGAGGGACACAAAGCAGAAGCAAACTCGCTGTTGTGAACTCACCGTCCTTCAGCCCATGAAGTAAGGCAGGCTGTACTCTTCCAGAGCTCCAACCCGTCACAAGCCAGTTTGTCTCCTTAGAAGCTGTTTTATGGCCTTGACTAGAAGTCAAGTGCAAGTTCTCCCAAGTGAAGGCAGGGCAGGGAGCAGTTAAACCTCTGCTGAAGTATTTAGAAACTGCCGAGCAAAGGTTAGAATTTCCATGACTTTTTGTTAGTTTAAGGTATGGTTTTAGCCCCTGAAAGAAGGAGCCAAAAGGCAAGAATGTGGTTGTACAGAATGCCTCTCTGATCTCCGTGAAGATAGGGCACAGAGTGATTTATCGCTGAGATGCTGAAGCCGTTTTGTGTCATCTAATGACAGCAGCGCCGACTCAGAAGCTAAACAGCTGTTTGCATCTATATTATGACAGTTGGAGTGAACATCCAAGGCCCTCACTCCAAACGTGACTTGGCACATCCTCAAAGCCTCCTCTCTGAGATCTCATCAGACCCCCAAAACTGGGCAAGCTGCTGTCATCGGATACACTTTGGTAAAAATCACTGAGCTGGTTTTGTGGAGTTATTGCAGAACAACTACCTCTCCCGACAAACCAGACGATGTGTAGAATGTTGCTCTTTCCTATAAAAGGCTTTACATAAATTCTGGACATGGCAGCAGCACTTCTTTATGAATTATCACCAGCGATCACTGCCTTAGGTAGTAAGAAGGTGCCTGCAGACACTTGTCATTAAACAGACACAAGGAGGAGGCTTTGCACTTACTGCAGACTTCTCTTTCTACTGCTTCAAAATCCTTTCACTTTGCCGGGGAAGTGTGTAAAACAACTTCCGTGCAACTTGGTGTCTGGAGGCAAAGGCACACGCAAGCTGTGAGGCCACCGGGTGCATCAATTCCTCACAAGTTCCATTTGAGTCCTTCAGCCTCACAGGGGAGTGACGTGTAAGTGCTCAACAACGCAAGAGAAGAAACTTCTGAGAAGCGTTTATCCTAAAATGAAGCTATAGGAAGAGGCGTCAAACACCAGCAGAATGGAAAAGCTGCTTTTGTCTGAGAGGAAGATTTCTGCTTCTGATGTTCAACGCCACAGCAGGAACAGCTGAAAGAGGAACATTAAGTATCTCCTCAGCATGATGAGGATTTCTTCACACGTGTTTTTCAATTACATGCCTGAGCCTCACGCCTTTCCTGACCGGTGCATTTTTTGTTCGGGAGAAAGCATCGCCAAGATTCCTTCCTGCGACCGGACTGGCAAACGCAAACCCACCTGAACATAAACCACCGCTTACAATTCCTGTTCCCCGCTCCACGTGCTCCCTCGTCCCCTAAAGCTCCACCCAGAGCAGCCTTCGCTCCGTGCACTGTGCTGGAGCCGTGACCCTAACCCAAGTCTGACAAATCCCCACTTTAAAGACTCGTGTCAGTTCTTTCCCTGTCAGGATGCCTCCCAGTCTGAGGGCGAGTGTTGTTTTTGAGGAACAGCTTTTTATTCCCTGTCACTCTTCAGGGGATCTCAGAGCTTCATCTCACCGTCTGGCAAGAGCCCTCTGCCGGATTCTTTTGGGTGGCAGCTGCTGTGTATTATGCCAACCCCCACCCTTTACCCTCCACCAGAGCCTGAAAGGACCCTTTTTCCTCTAATTTCTCTTGTGGCTTTGCCAGACTGAGATTTAGAAAAAGGCAGGTGCCCCGAGGTTCCACAACACCTGCCCTTCTCTAAACCTCATGTCTTTTTAAGGCGGCTTCTTTTTCTTTAAAACGTCACGTCATGGGAAACTGCAAGGGTCTTGGGCCTCCGACTGGAAATAAAACTCCGTTTAAACAAATGGAGTTGAACAGCCAGTCTTTGACTGTACTATAAAACGAGAACTCCAGTCCCACCCAGGCGCAATTATGCAATTATTACTCCAACCCGCAGATAGGGAACTGGCACTGTAATGCTTTGCGACGTGGCCACAAACACAATGAACCAGGGACACTGACATGCTTGTCCACCTTCCCTGCCTGCCCCCTCCCTCAAATCCCTCGGGGGAAGGACAGTCTCTAACAGCAAATACGCTTTAAATATATCTACGTGTAGATTCAGTCACTCAATATTATAATTTAGGTTGTTGTCTTACATCTTCCTCCTACATAAGAATACTTACAGTAACTAGAACTTTGGCATTTGCCCTTCTTGCAGACTTTGAACTGCACAGTATGTCTGCTCCAGTTATTTGGAGCTCTTAGACTATTTGTTATTTTCACTTGCAAGTAGAAGTTGCAAATATATATTTCCCTCTCTCATTCTAGCTGATGTTTCAGCTGCCCTACACTTTCTAAGGTAAGCATCCGTCCTACAAAATAGTTGCAGCCTCGACTCAGAACAAGTCCTTTTGCACAACTGACTGTTCCAAGCATGAAATATTCTGCCTACCCTATGTCCAACAACTATCTGGGATTATGGTTTCTGTCTCCAGATAGAATTATCTCATTTGGTGTTCTCATATCCATCGCGAAGACAAAAAATGAGTCTCAGCTTTCAAGCTTCCTGAAAAGAAGCCTGTCTTTTATCCCAAGGCCGAATAACTGGAGCCTGAAGATGCCATGGACAAAGAATACCAGATATATCTGAAAACAACTCTTGGGCACTGCTCCACCATGAGCAGCAGACTTAGGAAAAGCACCCACTTACTCACAGCAAATTTCCAAGGCAACCCAAGACCTACATTGAGTGCTATCAAGGGGAAGGAAGTAGAAAGAGCCCAAAGATTAGATACAAAAGCACTCAGATCCCCAGCACAGTCACCAACAAGCTTATCACTAGAGACCACCCATAAGAAACTGGAGATGGAAAGTGGAGCTAATGCATTCCCGGCTAAACAACTGAGTCAAATAAATTCTGAAGAAACGAAAAATCACAGAAGGTGGTGAAAAATGGCATCTACGATCAACTGAGCAAATGATCACAGAGAGGAAAGTACACCTTACAGACTTCCCCAGACCACGCGTGACTCCGGCAGAGTGGCTGATGGTGATTTTTCCTTTCGCAGGTTAGGCTGAGATGGCCTTGGCGCCAACCATGGGGAAAAAGAACACCAAATCCATGGTGCAAGGAAGCAACCACCAACAGGCTGGATCCTTATCAGCTGACAAAGGTGAATCTTGTATCCTCGATTTAGTTATTGTGTGGCTCTCTGCATTGGCAGTAAAAAAGATATTTATTTGTTTCCAATGAAAATTTGTTAAAATTACAAAAGTAATCGGGCTGTGCTTGTCTTTAGAACGATGTTTAGATCATTTAGCTTTCTTAAATGAAAATTTCAGCTAGATTTAAACTCTGGATTCTGGAGAAATCAGTCAGCTACTATTCCATTAAACCTCCCTTCACATGGAAAAGGAAAAAAAGGAAGTTCTGTCTTCTAAGCTCTCCTCTTTTTTTTTTTTTTTTTTTTTTTTTTTTTCAAAGCAGACTGCATCTCCCTGCCAGTGTGTTTATCCCCGTGTGCACTGAAAGCAGAGCTGAGATGAGATAGGAGCTGCTTATACAGACACCGCCAACACACAATTCCCAAAGAAGTTAATGACCCGAATTCAAAATTGTCTCAAGCAATGTAATTTACTGGCTGCACCCGGTGTGAAGACAATCTCTGTGCAGGCTCTCTGGAAGGGAATCATACTGTTTAATTTCATGCTGCTAGTTTATGTGACAAATTAGAAGACTCTTTCCCCAAGGGCTCTCCCTCCTCCCCGCCACAAATACCTTTTGGACAGAGAGAGAGGCTCTTTCACAGGACAATGCAGAGCTGAGCTCAGATGCCTCTGAAATATCCACTCCTCTCTGCTGATTAGGTGTGCAAGCCAAGCCACTCTGTCTGTTCTTTTTTTAAGAGCTCAAGTCCCAACAAGCGTCTAATCCCACCTCTGATAAACAAGTGAAAAGGCCCTTGCCTGAAATTCATGCCATCAGGCAACAGGAATAACCCCCTGCATCCCTCCTTCTCCTTATCTCTTTAATAATTAACCATCTGAGGATGCAAAACGCACAAACAAATGGAGACTAAGGGGACTCATGCTTAACTGATACACGTCAAAAGATTTGACGAAATGAAGGTTCATCCCGAATAGTGGGAGATTCCATAATTAGACAGAAAAGAAGATAAAAGGCTCCCACCCCTTGGGTCTCTGTATAAAGATCAGAGAGGGAGAGACATATACGTGTTCAGACTGATGGAAGAATACCTCACCAGCACTTCAATCATTGCAGGTTATTTCACGTGTCCGTGTCTCAGGATAAACGGGGCTGTTTAAAATTGACTAATTTCTTATCACTCCAGGAAAGGAGGGAGATGATAAAAGAGCCACAAGCTCTCGCAGGAGGTACGAATGAGCAATTAAATGTTAAAAATAGATAAATAAATATTTACATTCCCATATCAAAGAGTAACAGGAGCAGCACAATAACACACCGTGTTAAGGCAGAGGAGGGAGATCAGCCTCCCTCGTGGAAGATACCAGTAGCTGGAGGGGTGGTACCACTTTGTGGTACGACCAAAATGCATTTGGTGTAGGAAACTAGTTGCACTCTACTACTTCTCTGCATGCCTTTGAACTAACCCCGCCTTCGAGCCGCTTTCAAACAGTTTGTTCAAAAAAATTTGACTGAGTTGCTAATGACGGCCTCTTCTAGAGGAAGACAGAATATGGGATGTTATCACCTGGTCTGGTGCTGGGATGGCAAAATGAGATTGTGACCAAAGAGCTGGGCACTGCTCGCTGCCCCGGGCACCGTCCCACCGTCGCAGCGAGGAAGCCAGGTCTCCGCTCCACAGAACCGGTATCAGGCAGCTCCAAATTCACTCAGGAAAAAGCTCCTTTCCGTTGGTTACAAGACGCTGCCGAGGCAGTATTTTCCATCATGGCTGTTGTGCCCTGGCTTGTTTGAACTGGTTGTTTAGTATGTTCTTTTGGTTTGTTTTGGGTTTAGTATAAGGAGGAAATTTAAGGCAGGAATCCAGGGATTCGCACTGATAGCGCTGCAGTTTGTAACAACGCTGAGGGTTTTTTTTTTACTGTTCAAACCCTTCGGTGCCAAGTACTGCATGAAGCAGAAATTTAAAGCAAGTTTTGCCTCAGAGGGTTTGCAGGAAACTTTCTTTATTCCAAAGCAAACCGAACCAGGTGTGGGAGCCTGCTGGGAAATCCAGTAACTGTGGGCACAGAGTTCACCGCGGACTGCACCTGTGCTCATAGGTGGAGCACGATGGAGACATAAGACGAGTGCTTGTAAAATATCAGAGATAACAATGCCCAGTACCTTTGCTCCACTTAAGTCAAAGGAGTTTTGGCATTGAGATAGAAGTTTTCACTCATGGGATCGCAGCATGTGCTATAACAAATAATGATAAAAGAAGAGTCCAAAGAATAGACAACTCCAGTCTTGTCATCTGCTTGTTTCCCGCTCCCTCCTTCCCTGCCACCACCTAATTCCAATGGGAACAGAATTAGGACAGAGTGGATTTTTTTTTTTTTTTTTTCCTATTCACAGGCTATATTGTTCTCGAAAGTTTTGTGCACAGCCAGGTTGAAGAGAAACCAGAGGCATAGTTTCTGGGTGCCTGGAAGCAGTAAGCCTTTGTTTTCTGTAGGTTTGGAGCCAGTGATTTGGGTATCAATATCCCAGATGTTAGTTACAGAAGGAGTCATGAGCTGTTGTGGAAGCGAGTGCCAGACTCACCACTCCTGTGAGTTCCGAGCTGAGAAATCAGACCCCAAACAGAAATTTCTTGCTACGGCCAAGATAATGGATGATAAATCCACCAACAGTTTTGAGGCTGATGACACGATTACATCAGATACCACTCCTGAAACCAGACGGTTTGCCCTTCTGAAGTCCTTTACCAGCAATCATATTCAAAACAAAATTTCCCAATATTGGCCATTCTTTCATTCATATCCAAATGTGATTCAAGTTCCAAACCGGCCATGTCCTTTGTCTCATTCTAACGTCACTGATCTGTTTTGAAAACATTTGAACACTGTGAAGATTGATCAGGTGATAGAAATTGTTCACATACCGTATTTTCTTCTAACAGTACCACGGCGTATGAGGCAAGACCCTGAACAAGTTTTGCTACTTTAGTTAAAACAAATCCACTATAAAGCACAGTGCTGGACCTCTGGGCCTGTATCTCTCTCAGGGTGAGATGATACTTGCGTTGCTTCAGCTGCTTTAAAGCAACTTTATGCTTTAGAATATCATTGTAGACTGCACCAGAGAATGGTCTGTGCTGTAAGAAGAATATCGGAGACCTGAAATATGGACAAAGCATGGGTGTAGCTTCTGCTAGGTATTAGACAGGGAAACCTCTTGACAGAGGAAGATCTGGAAGTTTTCAGTTGAGTTTATTATTCCTAGAAGGCCAAGTTCTTCACAATTGCTACAGCTAGGTACAAGCGCCGACATTCTCCTCCACAAATAACCCACCAGCACTCACCGGTTAAGCAGATCTCATTAACTTTGTACTGAAAAAAAAAAAAAAAGTACTATTCCCTACAAATTCACCAGCTTTTGAGCCCCTGGGGTCTGAGAATAAGTAACAGAAGCACTGCAAGCCTGACATGATTAGTTACCAATTTGAAGCCGGGTGTTTCCCATTCCCACCCCTTCAGCCATCGTCACCAGTTCACGTGTGCCAGTCCACTGTGTGGCTGCCTCTCGGGGGGACCTCAGAGCTCTCACACCCTGGGCTGGTCCAAACTCCTGTAGGCTTTAACAGCTGAAAGAACACCTGCTTCGATGTATGGCAAACACACCTCAGGAGGCTCTTCTCGCCCTTCTCCCTTTGTACCCCCACACCGCCCTTAGACCTTGCAGCCTGTCTGACTCCCCCTGTTTTCCATGGGATGATCTGTGCTCAGCTTCGGGCAGAACTGAGACCCACCTGCACAAGATATCCGAGAAAGTCCTGTGAAGCAGAGGCCTGCCAAGTAAGAGAATGCCATTTGGCACTGACAGACCAGGGCTGACCTGAATGCTCCCTTCTACTATGTATTTTATTGTATTTCCTCTGGTTTTCCGCTTAATATCCCGTGATACCTGCCACCAAGTCACATTAGCAACAATTTCTGAATCGTTTTAAGACAACGCCCTTAGAGATGACCGTAAAACCAACTGAAGCAGTCCGTTACCTTACAGTATTTTCTTCTGCAGTAGCTGTCCTTCTAGATGTAGATTTCATGGAGAAGGTGCCAGATCATCTGAAGTTTCTTCATTTCCAATTTTGCAGCTACTTCAACCAGCTCTGAAGCAGAGCTTGACAAAGCCAAGTCTAAAAAGAACAGAAAACAGGGTAAGGCATGCCTTCGAGAAAAAACAGCCAGAAGAAGAGATACCAAAAGTACCGGTGGGGCCAGGGCCATATTTTGATATCAGTGGATCTAATGGAGCTGGGCTGTAAGTAGATCCTCTCAGCAGACTCATATAAACAGCAGTGTTATACACGAAGTCATGCAATGCCATCCACTATCCATTGGCCTCAAATAATTTTCCTTTGATTTGCTGGTTTTTTTTTGGAGTGGTACACCTGGGGAACTGCTTAAAAACAAATCAAACAGAAAGTACCCACCAGTAGCAGAGGAGCTAACCATATATCTTTGCGGAGAAATTAAATGCTTCTCTTTGTTCGATGAAAGTTTCGCTGTTGGGACTGTTCTGAAATCACTTCGCTCCACCATATAGCAAATCCGTTAGCATCATCACTAGAGCTAGCAGCCACTGTCGCTGATCAACATTCTGTTGTGCTGAATGTAAACCAAGCGAAAAAAAATAAGAAGAGATTTCTGCCCAAGGAAAACTGTCAGATCAGAAGTTCCATTCGTTCCTGTCTGAGTTCTTTCCAGCACGTTGGCATTCTTCTCTAGATGTTGTCACCAGGAAGAACCACAGAATCGCTGCTGCAAACGGCACTTTCCTTGCTCTGTTTTCCATAGGTTTGTCTACAAAGAGCTTTTTTCTACCGCTACTTGTCAGTTCTCTCCGAACTCCTCAGTGGAGAGGCTCCTTGTTTAGACTGGGCCCTGAATGCTTCTGTTCCATGGGTACCAGTTGCAGCCTAACTGGCAAAACCCTGCTGAAATGGTGAAGTTCTCATTAGAGCTGCTGAATCATAACGTTCTTAGCATCCTCAGGCGCTCCCCCCACCCTCGCCAGTTCAGACCAGGAGGTTCACTAGCAGCCACGCAGCCATTCTAATTAATATTTCCACCTTATCCCCCACCCAGGAGCTTCTGGGCATGTTAGCTCAGTCTCCCAGAGAAAACTACCAGGAGTTCAGGGGATATGAGCTAAGTATTTGTTAATAGAAGGGAGGCCACTTTTCAATTTTGTTTTCCTTTATGCAGTGTGAGCATCTATTGCCAGAGCAGAGGCTGGCAGCGTATCTATGACAACAGAAGAGAGGATTATGCACTGAAATGGTGTGAAATCAAGTGCAGAGAGACCTATTACCATTTCAAAGAAGGTAGAGGTGCCCGTGGGCCTTGAGTGGGAGAGGGTGGTGGGAAAAATTTTAGAATGCTGGACTTGTGACTCCCAGAGCAGGGGAGGTCACCTGGGGGTAGGAGAAACAGGTAACCTCAACTTCTTGGCAGACCTCAGAGGGGACATCAGAGCTGGGTTGCCATGGTGATTAAAGAAAGGGTTTTAGACAAGAGAACAGCTTTGGGAGAAAAGATACCACTGAAGTGAACTATGTATAGTGAAAAGAGCAGTACAGAAATTTACACACAAACCATCACAATCACTTCTGAAATGGGGACCTCCCTCCGGATTTGAGCACAGGCTGGCAGAGTCCTGCAGCAGAGGAGGAGGGGGGGAGGCTCTGGCACCTCGCAAGCACTAGCCTGGGCCCTGCAAAAAGAAGGTGCCTTGTGTTTCCGAGATGCTCCCCGTAGCGGAGGTGGGGGCAGGAGAAAAGGAAGCAAGGGTGCGCTTGCGGAGAGAAGTAATCTCCAGACGGGTCACCCCACACATCCCAGCTGTCTCTAGGGAGAGCAGAGTCACTAAAAGCCCCACAACTCTGCTGTATTAGAGCAGAGTCACTAAAAGCCCAACTACTCCACTGTATTAGCCACCAACTTTTTGACTTGCACTCTACCCTTCATCTCATCAGCGCGTCCGGACTTCACAGGGTTCTGCCAGCTTTCCCACCAGAAAAGCATAAAACCAAGGGCTCCCACAGCAGCGCCTCTGGTTGGCACCCCCAGAGTGGTACTTTGCATAACAAACACAAAACTCCCTAAGCACAATTCTTTTACTTCTGGGAGCTGGTCAAGACCTGTGCCCTGGCAAGCCTGAGCATCGCGGCACAGAGCTGCCGGCTTCCCTGCGGCAGAGGGAGTGTGTTATCCCTTCCCTACTGCCCTTCCCCTCCTGCCAGCTCTGGTGGCAATGTGGTGGCTGTTTGTCAGGCTGCACCATTCCAGCAGTTGGGCAGCTGTCGAGCAGTGCAGATGGATGTGGGGATGCAATCCTGCAGCTGGAGCGGTGTGACGGCAGCGGCACCTCTGGAGGGAGCAAGGGACACACTGTCACACAAAGCCCCACCAGGTCGGTTTGTTCCACTATGAGGTTGGACAGAAACACATTTACAGCAAGTGTTTTCACTGCTCTGAGTTGTTACTACAGCCTTAAAGCAAGTTGGTGAAAGTCAGCAGTGACAAAGTCAGCTTCATCCTCCAGATTCTGCTGCATGGGATGATGAGCACAAGGGTTTTTTTTGTTCTAATGCAAGTGAACAGCTCCTCTACCAGATTCCCAACAACGGAGTCCTCACCAGTAAGATCGGGCTTTTATGCTGCCTGAGAGAGCAAGAGCAGATGATGACAAAGATCGGTAGGAGCTCTAACTCCAAGTAAGAACTCTCACCTCTTTGAACCTTGACCAGAAACGTGCCGACAGAAAGTGACAGCACATAAACAATGCACCAGTTTCTTCTGGATGCGTAACAGTACAGGATACAACACATATGGGGCTTTGTCTCTTTCTTATCTTCTAGAAAAAACACTTTTTTTTTTCCAGAAGTACGTACATCAGAGACAGAATTTCTTCTTTCCCTGTGTCTAGGGTTGTAGTAGTGCCAGGTCCCCAAAAGACAATAGTCATAGCAATTCCCTGTTTTTGGATACACTGTCCTACTGGAATGGTCGTAGTGCCATAGACACTGTAAATATAAGAGAAGGTTATGGCCCTTCCTGCTCCTTTATTTTTGACCTAGCAAAAAAACCAAATGGCAATCCTGTACCATGGTTACCTGCAGCCATCTCAACTAGTTTTCCAAAAAACTGAGCACATGAAGAATGTCTTAAGGCTAATATATATTCCTGAAAGCTTATGGAATGAGGTAGCTCAGGAAAAACATACAACAAACACACAATTGTCCATAAGCAGGAAAAAAAAAAAAAAAGCACCATTTCTTAAGTTTACTTGCAACCATCCTTTCTGAAAGTAACAGAGGAATAAATGTGTTGGGTAAGGTTTTCAACTTGTACTCGATTCACCCGTAGGTTACTGAAGATGAAAGAATTCTTCCCAGAATCTTTTCGCCTGGACTTAAAAGATGAGAGAAATGCCTTTTTGCAAAGGTGAATTGTCTTAATCATGGTGGCAATCGATTTAAATAGCTAGGAGATCCTCTGAAATGCTCATAAAGTACACGCAGGAATAATAATACCTATATGCATGTGTGTACATACATGCACACACGTTCAAGTGAGCAGCTTTCAGAGGCCGCTAAGGGGCACGTCGGTGCTTCACAGCGCACACGTTACCATAACAGACTCATTCTCTCTGCAGAAGAACAGATTTGGATCTGCAAACCACGTTGCTCTCATCAAGGTCGAGGAATTTTCCTGCTTAAAACTCCAGCTGCTGTCGACACCCTTCAAGCCAAGCTCCACGGCACTGAGGAACACCTACTCACTCATAGGGTGCCGTGCAAGGCTCCCCAGGCAAGAATTGTGCAGAGGTAGAGATTGAAGCCTGGGAATTCATGCATGAGTCGCTCTGCTGGATTAAGTACGCTGGCCTCAGAGAGTTGAATTGTTCCATAAGTATTTAATATGATTACAACGCATCTTGTCGACCTGTGAGACTTCATTTTGTGGGAGAAAACGGATTTCTCTGGTTTGTCTTGCATCCACACTTCAATCATTTCAAGGTAGATCTTTGTCATCAGAAAGATTCGAGTTTCCTTTGTCTGGAAATTTAAGAATGAATCCAAAAGGCCAGATGCTACAGTTCTGTACATGAGTTCTCTACAAAAGGCCTCATGCAAAGGAATTTAAATTAGATATTTATCATCCCAGCTTCTTTTACAAAGCTAGTGTTTTACAAGCGGGATGGCTGCAATGTTTGTTCCGTGCAATCTAATAAAGCCTCCCAAATATCTTCTTGACTCTGTCTCAGTGCTGCAAAATCTAGGCCTCAATCAATAGGCAGGGGCTAGCCGACACTAAAATTTTGGGTTGGGGTTGTTTTACTTTTTTATTCCTTGTATGAAGAAAGGAACGGCGCAGGCAGCTCTCTGTAGAACATACACCCTCCCAGCTGTTGCTAGAACATTTTGTAGGGGAGCAGAACAGCAGGAGAAGGAAGGGAAAAATACGGCAGCAGAAGTGATGAGAACTGTTTGAGCTACCGAATGCACTGTTACACAACTCCCTTAACTTCCCTCTGCCTCAGTGTCCCTCCCTCAGCTGAGGAATGCATTATAATTAAATCACTTCAGTCCTTTGAGAGGAGTGAATAAAACTGTCAAAGAGAAATGCAAAAAAGATGTTTTCATTCTTTACCCCAGGAGCTGAGGCTCCCAGATGCTTTTGATGCTGCCTTTAGTGTGCAGAGCCAGGCACACAGGGCACCCCGAGCTCCCTGGTGCCCTTACACACATGACATTGCCTGGCATTGTCATGACGTGCCAGCAATGACAACATGCTCGTGACAACTCTGTAGCACTGTCACGACAAAAGCACGTTTTGCCATGTAGTGACCACTGCACGTCCCGGCAAAGTGGTGATACCAAATTCCTCACGCCGTGCCACTTCCCTGACACTCTGCTATCGTGGCTTGGCATCTTTATCTTGCAAGAGAACAGAGCAACCTTTCCCAGAGCTTCCCTCGCCAAAGCAAGCAATATTCTCTGCTCGCCTTCATCCGAACGTGCCTTCTGATAACAAAGGAATGGTTGGCCTCATTGAAATGAGAGATTTGTGAAATGGCAAACCGGAACGATGATCTTACAGCCTTTCCAAATTCGTCTGGACTGTGTTTACGCAGCAGCCAGGATATGGAACAAAACTCTGCCTGACAAGATCAGACCAAGGGCCTTAGTTAGAGCAACACGTGGTCTTTGACGTGGACAAGCAGCAGTGCCGGGGGAAGGAGTGGTTGGACCGTATCTTAGATCTCATCTTGATTTCTATTAGCGAGGAATGGCTTATGCTCTGAGGAATGAAGCTCCACGTTCCTTTGAAAACTGTCGTGGGCAACCATTGTTTTAACAGCGTATCCTCGTTATTTATGTAGACATCCAGCGACCTTTGATGATAAAGGGAAAAACTTCCCGGGGTACATCACCCTGGAAATAAAAGCAGTGGTGCTGTATGAAGGGCTCTTTGTCTGCAGACATAAACTCTGTATATTCTCCAGCAAATATTAGTAAATCTTTAATTACGGAGCCTCGGCACGGCTTCTATTCCTTTTGAAAGGAGCTGTTCTTGCATTTCTCTCCTCTCCCACAAGCGCCCTCTGCTGCCACTCGCCTTTAAACTGGTGTTGGAAAAGGGACAAAGAGACGATTAGAAGGAACTGGCTGTGGGGGTTGGTGTGAGCTTTGCCACCTATTATGGCTGCCTGTTGAAACAACTGCTCTCACAGGTATATTCACCAGCCTCTGCTCCCGGAAGGGAAGAAATTTGATGTCCGGTCTTACCTCTTCAACGCCTGCACGGCACCATACGCGGTATTTTTTGCCCAGGGTTACGTCGGGTTGGCCTGTGTCAGTTATGATGCCGCTTCTGATGATGTGACTGTTCATCTGACCGATCAGGTAAACTAAGGTCACTTAGTTCGGAAGAAGGAGAGGGTGTGGTTGACAGAGGTGGGAAGCAGAAAAAAAAGACTTTTGAAAGGCTAAAAATAAATTCCTCCTGCATGCAAAATCCCTGCACCCAGGTAATGGGCGTGGGCTTATGTCAGGCAGGGCAGAAAGGCTGAACAGAAGGAGATCAGGTTCCCATCTCTGCCATGGACCAGTTCCCTGCTTAACCTCACAGTTTCTCTCCCTGGACCTCTTTTTCCTGCCATTATTCTCTCGTGTATCTCTAGACCATAAGCTTCTTAGGGCAAGAAGCCTTTGATTGCAGCTACCTAGCAAAAAGAAGCCTTAATCTTGGCTAAGGATTTTGCTGATCCTGTTGTGTTTAAATACAGTAACCATAATGATGTAAGATGCAGATGGGTTCTTCAGGAGCCGTCATTCTTAAATCTCCATCTTTGCTCATCTTGCTTCTCAAGTGAGCGCTGTAACAGAATGAGACTGCTCTGGCTTGTACCCCCATAAATCTCTTGTCATACAAAATAGAAGCCTTCCTTGCTCAGATCTACCTGAGCTTTTTACTTCAAATGAGGGCCTTCAGTAGTTAGAAGTGGCCCTGATGAAAGAGAATGTAAAATTAAAAAAAAAATCAGAAGGAAGAAACCAGTTTGATTTTAAAGCCCTCTCCTCCTCCCAGCGTCATTCTGTGTTCTGAGAACCAGCAAAATACACATTAGGGAGGTATCAGAGGAGCCCCCTTCAGCTGGAGTTTGAGTGTTCCTGTAGAAGTGCAGCTCAGGACAGCGGATTATAGCTGCTCCCTGCAATGTGAGCTATTATCAGTGTGCTGCTTGTTTTCCTGGAATAGTTTGTTTGCTCAGCTAGAGAGCTATCCACATGGGAATTCAGGTGCTCGGGCAGGATCCCGTGGCACAAGTGATATTAAACAAAGGACAGGTGTTTCTTAGCAGAACATAAATTATCTGGGTTCCTGCTGGGAGGAGGGAAAGGAAATTTATAGGAGCTGGCCAGGCTTCTTCAAATTACAGTTGATTCTGCTCTCATGCCCTTGCTACGCTTTCATCCCACCTGGAATCAGCCATTTTCTTACTGTATTTCCAAAAGACAAGAGGCAGCAGGGACAGCATCAGAAGCTTTGCAACCTCACAGTAACCATCTCACAGATGGACTCTGCGGCCAAGCCCGGCTGCTTCACAGGGAAAGGGGACTTGCCTTTGATAAACTCCAGCAGACATGGGGAATAATGAGACCGTGGGAGAGAGAAACCCTCAATGTTTCCGCTGGGGATACATCCCTACATCTCTCCCAGAGGTACTCTCCTATAGGGCAGTACCAGGCAGACAGACACTGGAACTGGGTTTAGTCTGAAGAATACCATGACCATGACTTGAAAGCCGCTCTCCCTGTCTGCCAGCTGCTGGTCCAGACATATCACACACACAGAGAAAACACTTCCCTTGACAGAGACCTTGGGGAATTGTCTCTACAGCACCCATGTGGGTCAGGCACATTCCTGCCTGTGGCAGTGTGGCGCAGTGAGAGCCAGGACAGTTGCTCTGGTAGCGAGGGGCTCTATTCCCTCCACCTCTATAATGTGATCCTGGGGTTCTTCCCAACTCCAGATGCCTGGAACAACTCAGGCGAGTTGGATGTCTGTCATGGAAGCCAGTTCCCAGTGATTCCTCACCGCCAGACATCTAATCCTCCCTTAGCTCTGTTCCCTCAGCACGTGCAGAACAAGAACTCCCCATGCAGCCCGCTGAAAGAGGAGAGTTTGGCGGATGGAGGACTTCAACAGCTACGTTAATGAGAAGTTGAGAAAACCCAACGGCCTCCCCAAAGACTGGGTTTTCACTGTGTTTACTGTAAGTGCAAGCAAGCGTGTGGTGTGCTGGTCTGCCTAATTAGGGTGACAGGAACAGGGAGAAAACCCGTCAGTTCACTGGAGTCCCCAAGGAAACACACACACACACCGAGTGAGAAGGTATTGATGGTCCCATGGTAACCATTTATCTGCAGATGCGAAACACAGAAGTGAAGACACAAAGAGTTTTAATTTTAATAAAATGGGCAAACAGCTGAGAAAAAGAGCGTGAATGGAAGCGCTAGCTGTAAAAACGCAATTATTGTCTTCACGTTCCTGGCCCGATGCTGTGGTCCTGCATTAAAAAATAAAGTGCACGTTAGAAAGCTCTCCAGCTTCCCAGTCTGAAAAGGGACTACACTTTCAGTGGTCTCTTTGCTGTCTGACTCAGCCTCACCATCCGTTCTCCATCTGAGTTTGCCATATGAAAATCATCTCAGAGCCTTAGATCTTATCAAGGAGGAAAGATAAGAAGGCTTAACTGGCTTGATTTCTGACCATCTCCCTGTCTCACTGAGGAAACAAAGTGAAGAAATTTTCTTTCCTGTCTCACTGAGGAATCAAAGTGAAGAAATGAGTCCTGGAGACATCATTTCATCAGCCCGAGTCTAATGATGCATCAGTTCTCCACAGGACTTGCTGGGGTGAAGATGAAAAGGGCAGAGGACACCGCTTTCTCAGGTTAAGTTTGGAAACGCTGTAGTTTAAAGCCAAATACAAAGAAAATCAAAAAGCTAAAAACGTTGTTAAAATACATTTTTGTTTAGAAAAACAGCTCGGAAGCAAATGTAGTTGAATATGCCAGGTTTCTCAGGGGATCAGAAACTTCAGCCAACATGATGGTATCTCTCCTCATGCAGAAATTCCCCACTGTGCATTTCAACTCCAAACAGAGGGAAACTGAGCATCACCTTCTGTAAGTTGCTGTAACTCGGCAGGATTCTTTAACACACTACGTCCAGCACAGCTGCGAGGGGGCTGTGAATCATCACTGTCAGAAATGGTTGCGTTCAGCTCACATCTAGGTGCCTCCATAGGAGTAAATGAAAGAAAACCGCCGAAAATTCTGCAGGCAGCTCATTCCGAATAAGGGCCAAGGGCCAAGATTCCTTCACATACCACAGGAGCAGTCAGGAGAACCAAGTTCAAGAGGAGGTTTCAACTCAAAGTGGACAGACATGTAATCTGCAAAATGCAGCATCCTTCCAAGTCTAGAGAGGAGCTCTGCTGGAGGCAGGGGAAGGAAAAAAATGTCCCTAAAGCAAGAGGACACCTCTGACTGACAGTGACGGCTATGCCCTCAGCATTCACAACCACCAGTTACCACCATTCCCTGTCTTCTCTTTCAGGACAGGATGCAGCGGATCGTCTTGCAGTGCTTCCTGGCAGCCAGGCACAAACCGGATCACAAACTGGGCCACTTCGATCTCATCGGCTGTGATTATTTTTTAATTGATGAAAACTTTAAGGTACAAATACAATACCGTCAAGCACTTGGTATGATATTGGCTGGATGTCTAACGCTGGCACGGTTGACACAGGCTCTGGTGGTAGGAATGAATCAGAGCTTTCAGTCGGTCAGCTATGAAGTGCAGGGTTCATTTTTTTTTCTCCAGTTCCTTTGTCCAGCATCAAGACACGGCACCTGCACTGCCTGCACGTTTGCTGCACGGAGAAACTCTGGCATTAACAGCTCAGGGTGGGAAGAAAAATACCTGCTGCAGGTGACACTCTTCTGTGCAGGGTTTTCACAGGGATGTGGAGTTCACAGTGAAAAGGATGGGCGTCCTAATGCCCACTCAGTTCCTTCTTTCTCCAGAAACCAAACATGCCAGATGATCAGCCAGCATAAATCAGTGTGTGATGCCTCTAACACCACATGAACTGCACTGATTTAGCCGAGTTATCCATCAAAGGCAACGAAGAAGTCGCCCTCCCCGTGCTGATATCGATCCGGATGTCAGCATCAGCACCCCCATGTTCACTGTAGATTCGCCACTTAGCAATAGGTCAGCCCACCGAGTCTATGAAACCTGCTAGAATTACAGCTCAGACTTGTAAAGAGTGAATGAAACACAGAACAAGAAAAGCCAGAAGGGAAAGGGAAATGTTAAATACAGTGGCTGAAGTGATTTGAATTCAGCCCAGTCCTCCAAAACCACCTGGCCTAAACGTAACAGAAAGCCATCTGGCAGATTTTGCTGTTGCTAAAGGAGAAAGGAACTCAAACATATTCCAGCAAAGGGCAGTGGGAACAGCAAACCCTATGAAAGAATGGAATTAATGTATGCAGCGGTGGGTAAGGCACCCGAACAATAGACTCCTTTGTACGGGAAGTCAATGGCAAGGGAGAGTAAATGGCAAAGACATAGAAACTGGGGCTTCTCAAATTTCAGCGGGAATTGTCTTTTGCAAGGTTGGCATGCAAAGCCCTGGCTGTGTAAACTTCAGGTAGAATAGAAGCTCCCGTATCGCTCTATTGGGGCAATTCCTACTTGGCTAGTTAAAAACTTCAGTGTTTAACGACCATTTACCTCCCCGCGTATTTTACATACGGAGAGATAAACAGAATCCGTTTCTTGACGAGTATTATCCACGAGAGTGATGAGGATTTCTGGACGCTTAGTGGTGACAGAGTCAGTTGGAACCTGGAACGTCCCTTTGAGAGAGAGCAGTGTGGAAATGTAGGCATTTATTTAGCATGGGTTTGTCCATGTTTTCTTGCCCCTGCTGGGGGGGGACAAAGCTACTGGTTTTACTGGTGCGGTGCTGCACCAAGAGGCACCTGCAGACTCCCTGCAGAGGCAGAGTACCACAGCTGGATGCAGGTCCGACAGCTTCGACCCAAAATTAACGCTGATAAGCGCAGCAAAATCCCAGTTTTCTGTGGGCTGACAGTACAATTCCTGTCCCGCCACCTATAATACACAACAGTCTTATTCTTCCCGTCATCCCGTTTCGTGACACGTCTAAGATCTGCTTTATGCTGATTTAACACGGTCTTACATGTTCGGTCCCATAGCTCATCATGCCTTTCCCTCTTCCTTATTTGTCTGAGATACAAACGCCCCCAGCATCACTCCTAATCATTCTTGAAGGCCCTGCAGCATTCTGATTCCGTCTTTGGAAGGTGTTTTTCCTGCCTCGGAGTTCTTAGAAGCATGGACTATGAGACACCACAGCTTTCTGTGGAGGTTTGCCTATTGATAGGTAAGCTGAGAAAAGAATGAAGTGCTTTAGGAGGAGAGGGAGCGAAAGTGACGTGGATTGGTTGTTGTTTTTGTTGTTGGATGTGGTTTCGTTGTTGTCGGCTTTTTTCCGACTGTTTTTCTGGAGCTTCCTTGTGCTGCTTTGTAAATGCCCAAGTCACCACGCGCCTTGGGACAGCGTCATTTAAATGCTCAAGGAACCTGTTTTCAGAAAGCATTGCATCAGCCGTGCAAAAGGGCTTCTCTCCAGAGGTATGCTGGGAAGACAGATGTGTAAATTTTTTATCAGCCATAAAGGAATTCAGCTATCTACCACCAGAGAACAGAGCGAACGCTGATAAGCCGTTTGCCAATTTGTGATAGATGTAGGCGAATGAAGATAACACTCAAACCCTTAGTTAAAGCAGGGACGGTCCCTTTGATTTGAATGACATAATTCAGTCACCCCAGGAGCAGGAGGTACCACACGGACACTGTAGGCTTGGTTGTGCCCTCCCCAGGTCACAACGATAAAAAAAAAAAAAATCTGACAAAAGCTTGTTAAGGCTGTGGAAAACAGAACCCTACTGCCTTAGCCTGTGGTCTCCAGTCTGGGTCAAGAACATCGGAGTAGCCCTTCCAGTGCCTGGTTTGTGACTCTGCATGTGGCTTCAGCTATGTCCACGCAGGACACACAACGAGTTATTTTCTTCCTATTTCTGACTGGTGTTTCAGTGCTGCTTAAAGCTCCAGCCAGAAATCGGGCTCCCTGGGCACCTGCTGCTACACAAACGCAGAACAAGACAGCCCTGCTGGGGAAAGCTTTGGGCTTTGAACTGTGTTACAGCCATCCTCTCTAAGAACAAGTTCGGACGTCGAGAGATGTGTACGGTCCCATTCAGTCTTGGCTGTCAAGTCACTTGGAGCTTCTGGGAGCATGAACTGATGCCCTCTCCCTCCCTGAGAGCCCAGCAGGATGTTTAGTTTCCACCTGGTGAGCTCCAGCAAGGATCCACACAATTAAATGAACTAAATGTGTTTTCATCAGAAACAGAACAAAACTGGCTCAATCACGCATTTCCCGCACACCAGGTTGTCTTACCTCTGCCCACGTCAGCAGGGAAAGGACCCTTGGGACAGGTCTTACGCTGTCTGAGCTGCCACGTCAACACGTGACCGAGCCTAGTCTCACCCTCCAATGCTCCTTTGAAAGACTAAACTGCTGCTGTAAGGGTGGTTCTGCAGCAGTGACACCACCAGAGTAATCGAACTCGATGAAAATTAAATGTATTTGGCAGATGCTAACACTGCGTCTAGCACTATACAAAGAACAAGACCTCAGATCCTGGTGTAATCCAGGATCCGGCTGCAGTCGTTATGTTGTTCAAGAACCTATGGCCAAGTCTCACTATTTAAAGTTTTTAAGCCTACCTGTGATGTCTTGACAGAGGAAGTTTAAGACGTGACAGAACATGAGTTGTAGTGGCAGGCTGCAGGGAGCAGTAACCTCCTCATCCCCCAGAAACATCCAGAGCATCACCCCTGGCTAAAGCCTCACGGCACTCGTTAGTGTTCTCCTCACTTGAAAAACCTAAAAAAAAAGGATGGCCCATGGTTAGGAAGTTGAGGCCAGACATTCTGGGTTTTGGTTCCCTTTCTTTACCATGTGTTTGCTAGGAAATTTCAAGCAGATGCAGGGAGAAGCACATGTAGGATGGAATTCCCATGGAAGTTAGGGATATTCACGCAGATCTGGTGAATCTTGGCCACCTTCTCTCTGCTCTTCCTGAAAAAGAACAAAGGGCATTTATTAACTGGCCCTGGTTGTTGGGAGGTTGAGTATTTAAAAACTGTGAGACATTCAGACAGCACAGTAATGGGGAATGTAGGAGACGAACAGCATGATAGATATCCCAGAGACACTTCTTCCTCCTGTTTGTCAGTTTTATTTGTTTTGAAGGAGAGGAAACCAAAACCTAATGAAGATAATTATGAAGGTTCATTGAGTTTGCCTGTCAGCACAAAATCTTATGAACTTTCAAGAGGAAAAAGAACATTTAATGAGAAGAAGGATGAGTTTGCCAGGAAAAAAAAATGTATGTAACTTAGGTGCCCTCTGTTGGCACCTGCAAAGCAGGTTTTTTTTGAGCAGCTGCTCCAGTTCTCTGAAGAAAAAAAAAAAAAAAAAAAAAAATACACTACGTTCACTTACGAGTCTTTTCACTTGTTTAGTAAATATTTCAAAGAAGTGAAAATTATTGTATTTTATTCTCAGCAAAATAAAGTGCCAAAGCGAAGACTACCACGTCACCAAACCAAGCACCAACTCCATTTCACAGGTGCTTTGCAAGCAAACTCATTGCTGCTTCCAAAAAAAAAAAAAAAAAAAAAAAAAAAAAAAATTTTTAAAGATCATTTTTTAAAGTCAATTAAAAAGGAGTAAAATTCTCCTGGGGCTGTTACAAGATTAAATATCCTTCCTTACAAAACAAAGAGTATTTCCTATATGTGTTATATACAGGATGCAGTACCATATGGTCGAGGCAGGGAACGAACAGATGAGTTTCTCTCACTATAGGGGAAAGAAATAGTAAACAGAGTTACACACAAGTTAATTGTTCGGTTTCACACAGATTTCTAACTGGACCATCACATTCGGTGGCTTGTAGCTTCAGACCTTGGCATTCCAAAGGGAGATGGAGATGAGACTAGCGCAGATACAAAAAATTATCATCTTACATGGCCGCAACCTGAAACTAAAGCTTACCTGGGAAATCGAGGCCAAGGGTTCAGTGAAAACTCAGTACCATGTGTGCTTAGCTTTGATCCCGCGTTTACCTCAAATCAAAATGATTCCTAGATTCCTTAAAACTTTATTTCACGGTGTCCAAACAACTCAACTAAGAAACTGTTACGGAGACTGGGATGTGAAGGAACGCAGTGCCCTTGCACACCTACAGAGCAGGAGTTAATCTAAAGCACGTCAGCCCGAGACACCTCGTCTCAAGTACGTAAATGTATGTGAAAAGGGATTTTGTTTAATTCATCCAGTCCTTATGAAAATTCTGCCCTGCCTGCAGTCTGTGTTGTGGGATTTTGTTGGGGTTTAGTAGTACTCCTACCTCTCGAGGTGTTCACTAAGGCAGCAACAGGGCTCTGCTCTGACTCTAAGGAGACCCAGCCGAGTTTCCTGGCCGACATTCATCTTTCCCAGGTCTGGCTTCCGGAGATGAATGCAAACCCAGCACTGCACACCAACTGCAAAGCCCCGAGAGACGTCATCCCAGCTGCAGTCTGCGAGGGTCTTGGTGAGCAAACAAGTCACGGCCATCATATCCCTCCACTGCTGGTCGGAGGAGAGACTCCTGTTTCTGTCAGTCGTAGGTCCAAACCAAACTTGGAATAAAGTTTGAATAAAGATACCTCACCGCTGAGTTAACTAAGCAATTTAGAAGGCACTGAAAATTCGAACCCATGCAGACCTAGAAAAGCTATGGTCTTTTTAGTCGTGCACCCATTAGAAAGAAATGCGTCTACATTTATTTTTTTTTTTTAGTTATAATTATTTTTAATAATACTTTCTTATATATTTATGTACAAAGGGATAAATCTTAATACACGTCCCTGCACCCACACGTTTTTCTCACACCTGTTGTTCTGAAAGTGCCTTACAACCCATTGGAAGCGCTTAAATGCCAGCGGACCCCACTGTCCTCCACAAACACAACGGGCAACCGTTACGTGAACTACGCAAAGACTGAAAAAAATCCTTACTGCAGTCCGATATACATTAACTCGAACTGCTCCTGCCTGAAAACAATCTTTCAGCCCCGATTTTCTGTGATATCGTTGTGTGTGTAAGGGGAAGAAGTAAAGTGAGAGTCTGTCTGCGTGAAGGGTATTAGCAATAGCCTGCTCACATTTACTTTCATAGTTACCTTCCTGTGCATATGGATGTTTATTTGGGGGTATATACATATCCTGGATCGCCCTGTAAGCAGCTCTATATATTTTTCCTAACAATTTCCTACAACATTTCCAGTGGAGCTGAAGCTGGCTGAAGTGAATGCAATAAAAGTGTGGTGGATATTTTTTTTTAAAAAAAATTCTTTTAATAGTGATAGTCCACAGATCACAGGTTCGAAACCACTTCCCCTCCCGACCCCGCATCCTTCCTATGCACACAGCTGCTCTGTGCATGCACATGGCAGCTTGGGTGTATTTTAGCGTCAGAGCATTTGGACCATCTCATAAATGCCTCTTCTCTTCCAGATTTGGTTCTCGAGGTTTCCAGCAAGCCCCTCAAAGGCCAGAGTGTTTTGCCTCTGGAGACACTCCACCGTTTTGTGCTTCTCTATCATGAGGATGCTGCAGACCTTGACCAGAAACAACCCTCGAAGCTCAGGAGTGGCCTGTGTGCAGGCTGGTATCTGCGGCCACACACAGGCAATAGCAGCCACTTCAGTCAGAGCCCTGCCAAAGTGCTGCAGAAGTCCCCCAAGAAGCCCGGTCGCTCTAGAAAAAAAAGGTTTCCTTGCTCAGAAAGAATTGTTAAACAAACTGTCCTAACTACACCACACGTGCAGGTCTTTGACCGTCACGGGAAAACTCTCAGAACCATTATAGAGCAAGAGGGTTTTCACAAGCTCAGAAAACGTAAAATAAAAGGTAAACTTGTAAGTGCTGTGCATGTTCAGCTCATTTTCACCTTCTATAAACGGGTGTCAACCTCAGCTGGAAATCCAGTGACTATTTCTGTAAGTACTGAGCTCTTCTGCAGAAAGTAACACTTCAACCCGCCCGCCAGAAATTATGGGAAAGCTACAGAAAACCAGACAACTGTTACCACATGAACCCCCGTCCCTTTTAAAAACAATGGTGATCTGACGGGCGCAAACCAGAAACAGGCTGAACTTCGTACATACAAACCCCTCGTACAAAAAGGAAAGGAAAGAAACTGCAAAGACTGAACCTACGGCTTAACAGTGGAAACCCCCCAGTTGGTCCCATCGTCTGTAGGAGATTTGTACATCCAGCCCCCTCCCTCATTACACCGTCTGTGCCTTGCACACTCATTATATTAAGACTCTCATTTTTTGATTTGGCTGAGGTGAGGGCCCAGCAGCAGCGCACACGTACCACATCAGGCCACCGTCTTCGCAGGAAACAGTGACGCTGGGGGGGGGATGAAGGAGATGGGGAGGAAGGGAGAGAGGTTTAAAACCAACAGGAAATGCTTTTACATCTCAAGACGCTGCTGCTTCTAACCCAAGAGGGATTTAAATGAGTAGAAAGTTGAAGGGTACATGCGTGTTTCCTTCCCCTCCTGTGCTTGCGCTGATGGACTGGAGTTGAGGCACGTTCGTGTGGTCCTGCGGCTGCAGCATCGGTTGGAAGCAAGGATCTGCGGAGAGAGGAGCTGCCAGCCAAGCATGGGATGCTGCAGCCTGAGGGCCAGGCAGGCTGTGTCTGCAGGAGCCGGCCAGGATGAGGTGGAGCTGCTGGAGACAGGCAGGATGGGGTAGGTAACCATTTCGGGGCACGTGAAGAAAGCTTATCGGCTCCACTCAAACTGAAACCCAATGGCTGTATTCGCTTTCCAAATATCACTCTCTTAAAGGAAAAGCTTTCTCTTCCTCCCGCTTTCTAGCCAGAATTTAGAATTAATTACAGCATTCTGTACCAGAATCATCTAAACTTCTACCTAGAGCCTGCTTACTTCTCCTCAATATGTCCCCTCAGGTGTCTCAGTCTTTTAGACAGCGGGTCAGTGTCTGAGGAGCTGCAGGTGGCAGCACGCCGTCCTGCCGTGGATGTAACCCGGGTTTGGACGGGCAACCACAGCTCCTGGGGCTCTGGCAAGCACTGCCCGTGTTTTGTCAGAAATGGATGCTTCCAATCCGACTGTCACAGGTCAGAGGCAGATCAGAGGCCTGAAAAGAAGCTCAGGTGCCTTTAGTCATGCTTCCACCTCTGGAGCAGCCTCAGCTCTTCCTAAATCTTGCTTGACAGACGCTTGTCTAACCTGTCCTTGAAAACCTCCAAGTGATGAAGGTTCTGCAGTGTTGCAAGCAAGCTGTTGGGTTTTTTTTCCTAATAGCTGACCTTTAGTGCAGGTAAGGCTGTTGTCTCTCTCTTATGCACCACAGACAAAAAGGAAAAATTGTTCCCTTCCTCCTTCTAGTTCACATACGTGAACTGTTACCACCACACCACCTCAGTATTCTTTACTTTAGGCCGAGCGTTGAGCTACATTTCACCTTTCTTTCCATTATTTCATCATACTCTAAGAGTGTTACTCCTTCCTTTTCTGTTACAGCAGACATGCCGAGAGTGCCTTCATCCTCCCTACACCCTTTTCTGTGTAACGTCAGTGGAAAATTAGGAGTCTAAGTGCTCTGCTGAATTTACAACCTGCTTAATGTAAGGGCACATTTAGTGGCATGTTCCCCAAAAGTTCAGGTGTGCTATTCCTTGACAAGCCTGCTTTCTGATTTTGCACCTGCTGCATATTTTTTTCCCTAGACTTCACTGAGCTGTTACCACTCAATATTCCTGTCAAAAAATAGAGTATTCTAAACCACATCAAATTTATGCCAGGAATTCATAAATTTGTCTGCTCGCTGAGCATTAACCTCTCTCTCTCTCCTGTTTTTTGTTTTTGGTTTTTTTTTTTTTTTTAGAATGCAACACATATACGTGCTTTCCTATGCCTTCCCATATTCTCTTCCATTTCAGAACATGGTCCAACCCAGAAGGCCAGAGTGAGGCATCCCTCCACGCTGAGGACCCTGCAATACTAGCAGAAACAGAAGATGTGAGTATGAGCAGGGTCATGCAAGCAAAGATTTGTATGCAGAATCAAGGAAGAAATCATAGGCCTGTTTATCTCACCCACCAAGGCGTTATCCTGATGCTGTCTCCCGTTACAGTGAAGTGCCAGAGGCTACGACATACCCTTTGTTTTGAAAGCAAGTAACCAACAGTTCTCCCTGTTTTGAGGCCCAGGTATAGGATTTCAGCTTTTGTGCTACAAATTCACATGCAAGAAAGTTTGTCATCACGAGTCAGTTTTGGATTTTTTTTCCTGGGACCATGTTTTATCACCATTGTCGAGAGAAGATGCTCAGAGAGAGGGGAAGCGATTTATGCAAATTCACATAATAAGGTCAACATCTGAACCTCCCACTGTCAGGGCTGCAAAACTACCCCTTCTCTCTTTTCAGCCAGTGTTACAAATCACTATTGCTTGGCTCCCGTTTCCATTTTTCCACCTCTAATTGTCTCACCTTACAAGACATTCCTGCTAAGATTACAAGAAATGCATACTAATGTTTATTTGTTTCAGACACAAGCACTGTGGGGAAGAACGCGGGAGGAACTAGCAAACTTGTTGATCACACAGCCTGTCAGTGGTTGGGAAGGGATGAACATCCACTCTCTTGGGGAAATTATTTGGTCCTCCCTGGTTTTTCTGAGAACTTATGGCATGGAGGTAATCTTCCTTTTACTACAACCACTGGGTAATATGCAGGGGGTAAGGTGGGGGTACGTTTGGATTTCATACATCCTGTCTGAATGACTGTCAAACCTCAGGGCTTGCCTAAAGCTACAATTTGTCCTGACCTTTGTTTTCAAGAGTTAATGCTTATATGTTTAACTTTCAGTAAAAGCTGAAGGGATTTGAGCAGCATGAATCTTTGCATTCGTTCCCTGGAGAAACGAAATGTCCTTTTTGTCAGAAGTCTCTTGTATGCTTCTCCCCTAAGAGATAAGGACTGGTTATTACGGTTGTGAATTTGTACGTGTAAAAGTCCACAGGTACTGGAGATGACTGATAAAACTAAAGCAGTGTGATTGCCATTACCGTGGTTTTGATGGAGTCAGAAGAAAGAACTGAGAGCTATTCTAATTTGGTCACGGATTCACGTCTCTCTGCACATCACTGTTTATCTGGCTGTAGACACAGGAGCAAAACCTCCCTGTCTCACAGGAATGCCATGGGCTGGCTTAACAGTGCTCAGAGAGCGCACAGACACCGTTTAAAGAGAGATGATATGAAATTATGAAGTACTGACATAAAGGTGCAGTCAGACTGACCCAGTGCAGGACACTCCGGCAGTCAGACACAGCTCCTAGTCACTAAGCATGATCAGCACCGTCTGCACATAAAGATGCACAAAGTACTACATCACCACAGAGGAAGGGAAGGTGAAGAGCTTTGAGAAAATATAAAAAAAAAAAAAAAAAAAAAAAGTATTTCCACAGGAGATGTGTGAATGCTACGTTGTGCTGTCCTCCTTTCACTTGCTGATTCTCTCAGTGGATCGTACAAAGAAGGCATTTGTTTATGAGGTAAAGCACAAGAATCTTGCTGTGTCTGATGTATCCGTGCTCGTATTCAAGATTTCCTAAACACCTCTCTGCTCATAGCTCTCGCCTGTACACGGCAATAAGAGTACCCACCCTGGGTGCCCTGCCAGGGGGAAGGCTCGGGATGGAGCAGGTCCCACCAGCCAAGGCAGAGACACTTGACAGGGTTCAGTGGAGCTTTGGCACGTTTCCTAGCACAGCAGCTCCATTTTTCATCTCGCTTTGAACAGGGCAGCGAGTCTGCTCCAGGGATTGAAGAGTAAGGGCCAATTTCTCTGTATATGCCTGCTTCTAGGATCGATAACATTAGCTGGCCTCTTATCGAGAGGGACTGCAACTCTGTACGAGTGAGCTAAGTGAACAAGCCATCAACCAGGAGGTATCGGAAGAAGGTCATAAGAACAGGAGATTACAGGAGAGTGAGTTAGAAAGGTGTAGTAGGGGCAGACGTGGTGTACCGGGGGCAGACACACTCAGAGGAGCTGCTGTCGGCACAGCGGTGTCCGATGGCTCCTCGGGGAACCTGCACCCTAAATGTGAGGGGGAAAAGGAGCCAAAGTAGGAAATGTCGTCACTACAGGAAGGTGGTCCTTGATCCATGTAACGTTGGAGTTGATAAAAATCTAAGTCCCTGCATGAGTTAAGATTGGTGGTGGAAGAGGACACAGAAGAAACGTCATCAGTTTATGAAATATGGGATCTAAAATGCAAACCAGGGCTTCTTTGTCCTGAATGTCAGTGCGGTCTTGTAGCATGGTTTGGGGCACGGGGCGGGAATTAAGGAGGGGGAAGCTGCAAGGCAGATGAAATTCCATCTAGTTCATACAAAGCGCTTTTCAAGACCAGCCTCGGTCTATTGGGGGAGCTCACCCCTACGCCTCAGAGCACTTTGTGAAGGAGGACAAGTAATTTTACAGGTAGGGAAACAGGACTAAGCCCCTGATTTCTTGTGTCTTCACACAATGAGCTGAACGCCATACCGCACAGACTTCCTTAAAGTCAGAGGTTCAAAGGATGGGAAACTCTTTAGCCTGGCTTGCAAAAAGCATTCCGTTGTACATCAGAGAGGGACTTGCAGTGGGACAGAGAAGGTGTTGCCAACCACTTTCTAACATAATTCCCTGCCATACCAGGGTCTCCTTCCTCTTGCTGGGATGCGTCTGAGAGTGATTGCGAGTGCAATCGGCCACACATTTGAAATTTCGGGTAAGCCTGTTCCGCAGTTCCTGAGGGGCCTGTGTAGTCACAAAGCAGTGATGCCCATGCTCTAGCCTTCAAGGACTGGCCTGCGTGGCCAGAAGATGAGAGGGAAATGCAGCCACGGGGAGGAGTCCTGAAGAAGGGACATGCCTCCAACATTCCGCCACTCTGCAGAACACGCCGTGCCTTTCCGGACTGGACTCTCACATGCAGCATATGCTGTGATTGTGCAGAGGGATGAGACATCACTAGATGGAAGGAATTCAGAATCTTAATTTTTACAGGTGGACACAACTGCTGCACAGTCTTGAACCTAGAATGCCTTAGAGTGAACTAGAATTCCTCATGTGCAAGGCAATATAATGATAGGTTCCCCTTTATCCTAATTTTCTACTTAAACAAAACAGGAGGCAAACGCTGGTGTCTGTATGTAGAACAAGGAAGCTCCCTAACTGTCCAGGTGCCAACCCAGTATCTGCCATCAAGAATAATGCAAGACAGACACGAGCTAGTTCCATCATGAGCTATCAAGGCACAAGTGGAATGTGGCTGTAGAGCTAACGAACGACGGAGTGGAGGAGCAGCACACAGGACTCACCCTCTAGGCTCAGAGCAGATCCCAGCCGTCCTTCCTCAGACCCAGGGGCTCTCTGTTTCTTTGCACAGGCTCCATGATAGAATCCAGGCTCATCCACTGCCAGAATTCAGCCGACTTCGACATGTGGGTCCGACACCTCCAGCACCAAATCCAGATGGCAAACGCTCACTGCCCAGTCAGCCCCAACAATAATATCGCTTTTCTGGTAAGTCGGTGCAGAAGAGCTGTAAAGAGAATGGGATTAAAAGAGGGACCAGTGGCAGCTTTGAAAGTGGACAGGGAGGTTTTCAGGGATTTTTAGCATGCGGGCTGGAAAGGAACGGTGTTACTTGAGGAAGATGTTCTAGGCTATGGCAAGTAAACTTGCTACACACAAATTTGCAACTGCTACTCTACGCTCATAAGAGATTTTAGAAAAATTATTGATCGTTTTTGTTCCTGGGATGTAACTACTACACTGGTTTAAAAAAAAAAATAAAAAAAATCCTCAAAATAAAGACTTGCTCTTCGATACATGCTGACTGTCGCACAAGCGACACACTGCAGCATCCCCAAGGGTCACAAGATGGCAGGATTACACTGCCACTGAAAACACCCCCCCAGCTCTGCCCTGGGGAACCCACACACAGCAATGCCAGGAGTCCTCCCAAAGCGCTGCCCACACCGTCCTACACTCAGGTTTCTGAAGGGTAAGAGTCAACTGGAAAGCCAGCTTGTCTTTTCCCCCTCCCTAGTGTTATTTATTAACACTTTTGCTAAGGTTTCCCCTTTTTGAAACATCCGCCCTGCTGTCTTTGATGACACAGACCCTTGGACAACACTGTAGCTCAGTTGTGTCCAACAGCATGCTTGTCCTCCGTCTGGGGGGAGAAAGGGTGACCCACACCACCCACCCTCAAGAGCTGCGGGTTTCTGGTGCTCCCTACAATTCATGTAACGGTTGGTAGCAAATGGACACAAGCTAATTTTGCAGTAGTTAGCCCAGGTGGCCCTGCTCTAAGGATTGCAGAAACCCATCCAGGACTCGGCGTAGCCACGCACAGCGTGAGCCCCCATCAGACCCCACTCCCCTGTTAGCTGCACAGCACTACTTTGAGGGAAAAGGAAAATATCCCTCAATAAAGGGGGGATATTTTGCTTTTTTGCCAAGCCCAAAGTGCTTTGATGTAAGACGAAATTCAAATTCAAATCAAACCAGTGTCCTCTTCTGAGAGGGAGAAGGGAAATTAGACTTTTGTTTGGTTGTCTTGGCTGCTGCTTGTGAACTCACAGTACACAGGGATTTGTTCCAGCAGGTAGCAAACCTATAGCAAATCCTAAATACCTTTCTGTTACAACCCTGAAGAACATCATACTTGTAGTTTTACCTGAATTTGCTCTGTTTTTTTTTAAAAAAAAAAAAGGTGCCGTGTGATGAACAGTGGAAGAAGATGGAGCTGACGAGACATCTGATGTGTAACGCCATCCTGAAGTGGGAAGGAAAACCTATCCAGCATCTGGGAAGGATACAGTATTTGACCATGGTGCAAGTGGCTAGTGGCTGCCTGGGGGTAACGTACACTGTGTACCGCTCTGACCTTCGGGGGGCTTTAAGAAGAATGCGACCAGTGAAAGTTTAGGTTCACATGGAAGTGATGCTTAAAGAGGAAAAAAAAAAAAGCTAATGATGTCCAAGTCCCACTGTATTAAAGAGACAAAAGGAAATGCGGCTGTATTTCTGAAAGCTGCTTCTGACAGCGTGTCCAAACACTTCCAACACTTGGTGCCCTCAACTTCCAAGGGAGTAGAGCCAGGAGGGATAGCCCGCCCCTTTCTAATCACACAGCAAGATCAAGGTTTTCTAAACATTTCCTTGCAGATGTGTGCCTGACATTCTTAAAAAAAAAAAAACAAACAAACAAAACCCCTTTGTGATATCCTATCAGCTTTCTAAACAATGAATAACCACCCTGAACAAGAAATACAAGGAACAGTGTCCATGGCTGGCACAGCAACAGCTGGACGCTGCAGCCAGTTCTGAGTTTTGGTGTCTTGTCATAGTCATTGAACTTCAGTGGAAGTTACTGAATGTTTCTGCTGTCTCTAAGATGCCTCTTTTCCACAGGACTCTGAGGAAAGGCTACTGATCCTGTTTCCAGAAGATCTGCTTTTCCTCTCCGTGGATAAGGACAGAACTGCAATCACATACAAGGTAACAGAGGAAATATCGGAAATAAATGGTCAAATAACCGAAGAATTAAAAGGAGCTGGAGCTAGTGAGCAGCATTGGGTGATGAAAATGTCTGAATAGCACGGAGAGAAGTGAGGAGCTGCAGGAAAAGCATCCCTTTTTTTTTTTCTCTCTGCTTTGAAGGGAAAACTCCCCCTAACTGGAATCCAGGCAAAGGAGAAATCCGCTATGCTGGGGAGGTTCCAGTTTGAAATTGCAGGTACGTAACTGGAAAAGAAAGATGAGAGCTCTCAAACACAGGAGGTTCTGTCTGAATGCAGGGAACCACTTTTTTACTGGGTGGGTGACTGAGCACAGGGACAGGTTGCTCAAAGAGGCTGGGGGGGTCTCCAGCCTTGGGGATGGTCAAAAGCCACCTGGACATGGCCTTGGGCAACCAGCTCTGGAGGGCTGGACCTTCCAGCCTCAACCATTCTGGGAGTCTGATGAGAAACTGCGCAACACCAGTGCTCGGGCTCCCTCGGGGACGGGTTACCTGGTGAAGTCGTCTTCCCGCAAGAGCCAGTCCCTGGGACTTTCCTTGCTATAGGCAAATGTGTCATGGCAAGCCCTGCACACTTTTCCATCCCCAACCTGTTCCCTGCTGATGTCTTGCAGGAAGCCTGACAGAACCAATCCTTATCACCTGTTCCACGGCAGAGGATTACGAAAAATGCCTCTTCTACCTACAGAAGGTATTTTTCAGAGAACTTTACTGCAGCAATCTCTCTTTTCAAGCCTGGGATTTTCCCAGCTATAGACCCATCTAAAATGTATCATGCTCCCAGCTTCTCCTTTTCACCCAAGTAGGGAGTCTTCAAACCTTCTTCAAGCCTTTCTCTTGGTAAGATTAATCCATCTGGCCAGTAAAATATCAGTGGGTATTTAAAAAAAAAAAAAAAGAAAACAAAAAGAAAATACTGTCAACAGGGGTTGAATTTGGGTCCTTTTAGGCAAAACAGCTACCTACTCTAGGAGTGAAAGCCTGATACCCAAACACTCAACTTGCACTGATTTCAGTGGGAATTACATACTGAAATAAGCAGAACTACTGAGGGGAGGGGGCAAGCCACCGAACTCTATTTCCTGACGACAGACAGACACACCGTGTCACAATGCCTCCCAAAACACTCATGAGAGTGCTACCAGCTTACGAGTTGGTTCCCTGGAAGTTATACCCATGTAAACAGGAGTTAGTTCTAATTAGGCCCTTCAAATTAGAATCTTATCTAGGTTCTAGTTGTCCGAGTCAATCGTTTTTTTGTTGGCCAGCACATCCAGCACACCCTACACAGCGTCCAACCCTATCTGGGCTCAGAGGAGAGAAAGGTGAATCAGCAGCTGATGCTTTAGATGCAGAAGAGATGTTGGGCTCTGGGTATTTATTAATCAATATGGCTATTCCACAGTGGGCATGGCTATGTTTATCTAGTGCAGAAATATCTTGGCAGAGTTAGGATATTCACATGCGGAAAATATGTTCCAGCCAGAGAAAATCCTTGATCCTCTGACTCTTCAGCCACCACCAATCATCCCCAAGAAATTTCGGCGGTATCGGTAGGACATTAGCGTGCAGCGACAAGAAGAAGGTACATCGAATACAATGCCGACAGAAAGGGAAGGAGCTGAAAGAATGAGTAAGAACAGACTGGGAATTGGAAACCAATATTCTTTCAGCCTGAGAGGTGAGTAAGGGTCTGCACACAAGCTGTTCTCCACTGGCTGCTGTTCCGAAGGGGCCGCTGCAATCAATCTTGTTATTCTGACCTCACATGTACATATGCCTCAAGAAGACATCTCTTACTATATTTATTGCCTGATTCTTACCAGAAACATTGTAAAACGCTGTGTAAATGCTACAAAATAAACCCTGTTTACCTCAACCTAAACTCTGCGTAGAAAGCAGCATTCAGATAACTGTTGGTTTGGAAAGCCATCGCCTTCCTTTGAAATGGCAGGCACTGGGCCACTCGTGGTGGTGAACAGTCTCTTTTCTACAGCTTGGCTTCCCTGCCCAAATCAAGAAGAAATGTTAATCCTGGAATTTTTCACAAAGCAAAAACTGTTTTCCCAAATACTCATTGCTGTCTTCTACCCTCCAAGAAGAACAACCCAAAAAACCTCCAGGTTCAATCAGATCTATTTATTTTGATGACTTCAAAAGAACTCATTTGGATTTTGAACACCTCAAGAATTTTTTTTCTCCACTCTACTTATATCTAGCACTGGAAAGGAAGCATTGATACAAACCAAGCATTTAATTTCAAACAGAAGTTCTCAGTTACTTGCAGGTCAATCATCCAGGTTGTATAGCTTGGATGTCCTCGTACATCCGTGGTATAGCTGGTCACCTGAACAAGCTTTGTGTGGTCCCATGGTCCCTGTTCTATCCCAATTTTTCCTTTATGCAGCCTACACTGGCCACATGTAAATCAAGAAAACAGCTCCATATACTAAAAAAAAATAAATATCAACAATATTAGGAGGAAAAAAAAAAATCTAACAAAGGTACACCCACGAGCACCATAAGTTATGAGTCTCTTTTCCTGATACTTTTAAGAACTGAAAAACTCTGCCAGGTTGGGCTGAAAGTAGGCAGTAAGTTGAAAAGTTATGCAGAAAAACAGGTGTGTAATCACACAGTTGCTTGATTTCCCTTTCCTTGGGAAAGAAAACAAAAAATTTAAGGACAGGAAGTCCCGTGAAAATATTGTTTCATCTTCTTTAGTTTCAAAACACTAACAATTTGCAGGAAACGTGAGCAGACGTGATAGCATAACAAAACACTGTCTGCACGTATCCTGAGCTGGTTTCTGTTTGAGCAAAACCTCGAGTACGAGCAAAGCCATTTTTATACCTCAGGCATTTCTCTCATCCTGTTACTTTTTCACTCTTTTTTGCATCTAAAAGACGAAGAAATCCCCAGAGCTCACTGGGGCCCCAAAAACCTGTGATCATTATTTATGTATGTAGGTAAATAAAAGGGTATCACCTTATTCTCCGAACTGCTACCCTGCATTTCCTAAAACTGTGTGGGAAGGTCTTTAGCTGATTATGAACAGCAAGCCACTTCTAAGTCTCAAACATTGTTTTAAACAAAGTTTAAAACTTTTAACAGTGTGAAGTTTCTTAAGCATTTACACACAGGAAAACGTGAAGAACTGTAGAACCAGAAATTTTTTTTTTTTTTTTTTTTTAATTCAAACTTTTGGAGAAAGTGCATGAAAACAAAGATAGAAAGATAATTGCACTCCTCTTCTAGGTGCCGTTTCCCTGCCATGGAACTTTGCCATCATACTTTTTTCATTGCAGAAGTCAAAATTTGGGAACACGCATCCAGATTAGAAGCACAAAACGCTAAATGGTAACCCTAGACCTGGCGTCAGGAAAATAATGAACGTTACTCGGAGAAAAGCTGCTAAATTTGGTTCTAACTTCTGAGCTAGGTCACTGGAAGATCCCAGAACTCAGAGCAACCGGAGGTTTGCCTCCTGAAGGCCAGTTTCAATTCTCACTGTCAGTCACTTCCTTTTTTTCCGGAGGCAAGGGAGCCTCAGGCACAGCTAAGCGATGTCAGCTTCTAAGAAATCACAAAAATTAGTAGCTTCTTAAAATTTGTCAGTGGTGTTCCTTTCTAAGTATTATTAAAGCACTTCTGCTAAAAAAAAAAACCACAAAAAAACAAAAAAAACTGACTCAAGACAGTGAAAGATTTGCTGAGCAGGTCTGAGACACACAACACCTGCTGGCAGCTTGGGAGGCTGCCTCCAGTAGAGCAGAAAAGCAGAACGAGAAGGCACGCTTGTCAGTAGGTAAGAGGCTTCTTAAACCTCTGTTGTACAAACAGAATTGTTCCAGAAATTCCTTAGTTGAGCGCTATCTGCTCTTCAGAAGATCACTATTCGGTGGGGGGGTGGGACTGTGCACAGCTGGATCCCGGGGCTGCCCAGCAGCGTTGGCCTCAACACCCGCCGCTTCACTCGCTCGGGCTCGGATGAAGCAAAGGTCCCTGTGTCAGCACAAGGCAACTGCCACCATCAGAGCAAACGTAAATAACCCAAAAGGTGTAGGCTAGGCCTTAGGGAATAGGAAAGAGGCATGTCTGGGGTGGCTTTCCCCAGCGTATCCTTCCCACTCGTGGCGGTCTTTGGTTTAGAGACGTTCTCAACCAGAAACCAGAGCTCTTAAAAATATTGTCCTCGTGTTTATCACTTTTCATTGCTTAGGTACTAAGAAAAAAATTAAATGATACTTTACTCACAGTCATTAGTAATCCAGCTGCTTTGCACTTGATTTCCTTTCGATCTCACGGTTGAATGCCAACTGGTTCTGTTCATTTATTGTTATCTATTCTATTTTACAGTTCAGTTTAAAATAAATGCCTCTGTAAAAAAAAAAAAACAAAACAAAACACCAAAAAACCAAACAACAAACCTATATTAATCATATCTAATATTTATAAACCCCCTTCTGAGCATGGCTGGCACACGAAACCCACTTCGCAGGAGCTAACGGCTTCAGCTTTTAGGTGCTGTTCCCCTCTTTCAGGCTAGAGCGTTTAATAACTTGATAGTCTTTGTTCGCCTAAATATCCCTTCTAGAGCTTCACAGCCTTGGCTTTAATTTCTACTGTTATTTTTTGCATATGGCTTCTAGAAGTGGCTAAGTTTGGGATACGTTTACATGATCAAGCGATTTCTTTCAGTAGCCTTAGGTGAGGCCTGTCACAGCTGGTCAAATGTCAAATTAGTGACCACGTCTGATAAGGAAAGCTTAGAGTCAACCAAATTCGATTTGGCTAAACAGAGAGTTCAGAACTACGGTAGCAATAGCAAGAGCACAGATTTTTCTCCAAGAGGATGGTGGCAGTGACTGCCAGGTATTCTGTAAGCACGACGGTCAGGGCAGGTATGGCAATTTAAGGAAGACTATCTTAGGAAGAGCTACAACATCTGTATTCACAACAGAGAAAACTGGAAAAAAACCCTCCCTGTGGTTTCCATATACAGTACAGGAATTCTGATCTAATTTACATAGTTAATTTTGACAAGGTCGGTACATCGGAAGAAAGCCAGATTTGCATTGAGTCCAGCTTAGGCTAACCTCTTAGATCACCTAGCCTCTAGAAAATTTGGGATATTTTTCAGGGATATTTTCTCTTTTGAAAAGAGATTCAGGGGGAAAAAAAAATAACTTAGATATTTAGTTGGACGTAAATGATTTGAGCGAGAAGCCTTTTTTAACCTGCAGTCCATACACAGAGACCAAGCTGAAGTTTAAATCAGAACTTGAAAAACCCCATGAAGTCTGGGATTTGAGATGAAAACGCAGCCATGATCCGATTCAAATATTGCAGTAATTGCACACTGATAAAATAAAGCTATTATTCTGTCTTGAAAGGAAACTCAAACACGGTGTTTTCTTACAAGCTCACTGCTCTGAGCCAATAGCTTTCATTTCCTTTGATGCGAAGAACAGCTCTTTTACTGAAATTCTCCAGGGCTTAAATGATTCACACTTTGGGTTTTTCCCTCTGAATTGGAGCTGTAAGAAGTCAGGAAATTGGTTGCTTTTCCCATCAAGTGGCAGCCGTAGAGTCAGGTGGTTAGGTAAGCAGGAAGCGGGACTGGTCTTCAAGGTAGGCATACAGAAACCCAAAAGGCCACCGTGCAAATTTCCAGTGAATAATATGGCTCTGCTCATCGTGTTTCACTATTAACTGGCAGCAGCGGTGGCTGCTCAACACCCACAGCCCAGAAAGTCTTGTACACCTCACCGAGATTCGCTGCTTTTCGCCAGAGGCACAGACTTCCACCATACACTCAAATTTTTCACAAACAGTAAGCTCTGTTGATTTTTTTTTTTTTTTTTCCCCCCAAAAAAAATGTTGCCACTTTTCTGCCATTGACAGGAACGGCAAAAAATGTCAGCCACAGTTTCCTGCTATTCTGGTAGTGGGTAGCTGACAAGCTGGTTTAGCCACAAACCAGGAAACATTAAGCCACTTGCTTAAAAAGGGAAAAAAGTGCAAGTGCACCGAAGTAAAATTCAACGACAGAAGAGTTTGGTTGGGGGTACAGAGCCAGAGTTCTGTAAGAGTGGGGAAGGGAATTGGGAAAGTAAAACGAAGTGCACTCGAGAAGATTGGGACAACCTAAAGAATAAAACCCTCCCTTTCCGATTTGCTTAATTATATCACGTAGGCACTTCATTCCATTTTCAAGTTTATTTTACCTTTACAAAAGGTCACAATTAGAAATCTTGTTGGAAACGCTAAAAAAAAAAACCCAAGAAGGGTCAATACAGAGCCAAGAATAAACATGGCCAAGGTAGAAGGAGCAGTGAGAAGTGTCTTTACGAGCCAGTGTTGAGACTTCTGAGTATATTAAACCCCAAAGAGAAACTGCTTACAAGGCAGAGACAGTCTTACACTTTAAAGAAGTTATCCTATTTAATCCAACCCAGCACTTTCACCTTTCATTGGCTGAATCTCCTGTTCACCTCAATTAAGGATCTGCACATTTCCCAAAGCAATAGAGGAAAACTCACTTTTTTTTTTTGTTTGTTTTGTTTTACAGTGAATTTCACACCGGGGTCCCTATGGGAAAAATTATCAGTAACACAAGAATTAACAGTAAAAGGATCAAAGAAGGCAAAACTACATTGAAAGTACTAATTACGTCTCACAACATCTTCTTAGGGTTGAGAAGTACCACTGTCCCACTTACATGAAGGGGAAGCTAAGGTATAGGGACGTCAATTAGAGTAAACACAGTAACAGAGAAACTAGAAGATTAAAACTAGGACTACAGAGGAATACATTATAGCGAATAAGAATATTCATTGCATTTCATTTTCCCTTACAATTATTTCACCCAGTTACAAGATTGTATAATGCACAAAAAAAAAAAAAAAAGGAAAAAAGACAGGATAACTCCTCTTGACATAATCACTGAAAAAATATTCAGCAATAAAACCATGTCTATGAATCATAAAATTAATCCTTTGGTTCTATTCAAGCTTGCCAAGACCTCCTCCAGAGAAGCTTTAAGAAAGACCAACTGGAAAGAGCTTAGAGGGTGAGACTAAGAGGTCTCGAAACCACAACCTCTGAAGCAGGATAAGAGAGAGCCTAGAGAAACCAAGCAGAGATGATAGCTTATGAATGCTTAAAAAGATGCTGAAGAGACAATTCCTCCTCGTAGTCATAACGAACAATATAAATTTTAACCAACAAAATCTCTCCAGTTCTCTGACTTTAAACCAGCCACTGGACTGGATTGCCTAGAGAGGTCACGGAGTCACTTCAATGGAAGTCTAACAGGAGATTGTTATCCAGTCTCGCCAAGCCTGCCCGGGAGCACAGACGATGTGACTGGCTTACCAAGGCAATGACCTGTCCCACTCCTCAGGGTTCTCTGTTCAAGTGCTTTTGCAACACGTGTCTGTGGAGGCAATAACTCCTGCTCTGCAGGTATTGCAATTTCACAGAGCCCTACTGAAAACAGCACGTCATTCAGACTTGGAATAATCCCCTCCGAGTATTTAGTGAGGTGATTAACAGAAATTTCATTATTCTGTCGGGATTTCATTTAGAAGCCCTGTACGGTTTAAATTATCCGTAAGAAAACGTGAGGCACCTGATGTAATGGCTGCACTGTGAGATATTTATAACACTTCATGTGAAGCCTGAATCAAAACTCATTTTTGCCCGGAGCTGATTTGGTCATAAAAGAATCTATTCCAGGCAGCTTTCACCAGAAGGCCAGACCAGAGGCATCCAGAGCTTTGAATTTATTATTGCAGTCACATAACACAAAAATAATTACACACAAAAAAAAAAAAAAAAAAAAAAAAAAAAAAAAAAAAAAACACAGGCTAGATTTTTATTTGAAATCAATGTCAATTCACAGCAAGCAACCGACTCCAGATGAAACCCTGCCCCTTCAAATTCAGGCAAAACACAATTCTAGCCATGTTAGAGCTCTATGAAACTGGAGGAGCACTAATCTGACACGGAAAAAAAAAAATCCTCCACGGTACAATTCGGTACAGGGAACAACTGAACAAAGTACAATTTCAGTAAGGGGAATGATGATCAAGTCACTGGAGCTATGCTGGAATACACCAGCAAACGCTCGGGTGGGGGAAAAACAAAAATCAAGAACAAAGGTTAGGTTTTTCTCTGTTTTCCACTGTCTTTTCCTACTCTGTGAACTAGGTGAGGAGAGCATCAAGCTGAATGTCTTTCTCTAAGCAGCCTGATCCTCGTTTCAGCCTTTCAGAAGATTCCCTGTCGTAATCCAGCATTCCAGTACCCAGGATTGCTGAGTTATAGAAGGAGGATGAGTGTTACTCCCTTCTTCCTCAAGTTTCCCTGAATGAGGGGATCACAGAACTTGCACAGAAAAATCTCTGCAAGCAGCGATGGTGTGGCCAACAGCAGTCTCACACCTCCATGCTCCCAGACTAACCACCACCAGGATTTAATGGTTTAAGAATAACGGCCCTTTGCTGCACAACAAGGAGAACAATTTCATAGGAGTGAAAACAATTTCGTAGTCTGCTTGGAGAAGAGTAGTAGAGATGGCTGCTCATTGCCATCATTCCCTTAGGACGCCTCGTTCCCTTAGGATGAGCATCAGAACACACCCTGGAAAGTGGGATGGCCGGCGAAAGCTGCGAGTGCCCTGTGGTGCTACCTATGTCCTGTAGTGCTGAAGGGACCGACGGCGGGACGCCAGCCTTCTGCACGCCCACCAACCCGTGGGAGCACCACAGAGACACGTGCAGAAGATTGCAAAGGGGAACAAGGACAAGAAGGGTCCCTGGTCCCAAACAAAGTTGAAAAGAGCATCAATTAAAAAAAATAACAAAAAACACAACCAAAAACAACCAACCAACCAAAAAGACCCCAACAACCCAGGAAACGCAACAATGCGGTGCAGCTGAACTGAATGCCAGCCCCACTCAGCAGTTTTTCTGTTTCTAAATGTTAGGTTTGTCGAGAAGAAACAAAGCAAAACTGCCCCCAAATCCATTCCTTATTGCTATGTACATAATGATGCTTGATGTGCCCAGTCACTTTTTTTTTTTCTTTTTTTTTTTTTTTTTTTGAAAAGCTCAGCTCCCCGTTCTCACAGCCCACTGCAATTTATCTGTGTTCATTGTAGACTCTGAGGGTGGAAATAGCAAGGCTTTTCTTCTGGTGTTTTGTCTCCATGTTCTTCTTCTGGAAACTGGCAGCTGTAAGTCTCTTCTCTCTGGTGTGACAGCTGTGCCACTGGCAGCCTAGGGAAGTTATGTTCCAGATCTGCAGTGAGAATAAGCAAAAGCACTGCACATACAAGAGGTCTTCACATGTGTCAGGCGGATGCCCGTTAATTTTACCAATACAGCCTCTCCCCGAGGAAAGGACGACGACACAGGTGATGCACTGCATCTCACTGAAACTACACAACCCGCCCAAAATCACAGAGTAAATCCGGATTCATTTGATTTATTCGACTTAATTCATTCCATTCTAACTCTGGGTCAAAGGACACACTGTTTGCTGCTGAAAAGCCACGCAGAAGCCCACAGAGGTGCACTTACCGTCAGCTGTGTGGTATTTGTCTTTCTTCAGTGACCATATGCAGAAATGCAAGAAGAAGGTCAGCAAGATGAGAACAAACACAGCCACTGCAGTAAGGATGGCCAGGATGGTGGTATATAGAGAGTCATTTGTAATAGGAGCTGCAATTAAAGATATTTAATAAAGATTAAGAAACCATGTGCCCAGACTGTTGTCAAAGAAAAGCCTGTTCTCCTAAGGCAATTTGGAGATTCATTTCATCTTTCTTGGGAATATAATTTTCCAAGGAAGACAGACCAATACAGGTGTTAACAATAAAACTGAGACTTTCCAAGTCAAGGGCGCAATAGATCAGTGCCTGCGGTAAAAAGTATTCATGCAAAAAAACCCCAAAACCATATTCCTGATCTCTTCATTGTTCAATGTCTCTCCCTCTTGCAGCTACCCCTTGTTCTATCGACTCTGGTTTGGGTTTTGCTTTTTTTGGGGGTATTGGGTTTCAATGTTTCCCTGAATTGAACTACAGCAAGGCAGATTTTCACCCTTTTGTCTCCCTCAGGTTAAAAGTAGCACCTGTTTGCAATTTGTCTGAGTAGAACTAACAATTTCTCTGAATGAAGAGCCCAGACCTGAAAGGCACCAATTCACTGTAGGAGCAAGGGTGGGGGGGGAAAGGCAGGAACAGTGCAGCTTGCTGTCTTCAGGATACTCAATACCTGCAAAGCCTTGTACCCACCTATTTCTATCTTAATTTAATCCACGACAAAACATGAGATTTCAATTCTGGGTGTTGTGGACTCGGCCAAGAGTTGTAAAGGAACTGGATGACAAACTAAATGATCGTCTCCCTAAGAAAATCTAGCAAAACAGCAAGAGCAGTTCAATGGGAAACTCTGATAATTTGTCGAATAAGCGTGCTCTACCCAAGGACAACTGTTGGGCTTTTCTCTACCTTTACTACTGACAGTGCTTTAATGGTAGAATCTTTGCCCAGGTCAATAATTCTACCTACATTAATATGGCAAGAAACACAACAGCAATTTTCAAAGCAAGTTTTCGCGATAGCAAGCTCTGGCTGATAACTATGCAGCACGTCACCAACTGAAGAAGTGTAGAGAAAAGTCATAGGCTCAGAGAAACAAAACCGTTGTGAGAAGGTACCTTGCTCCAAATCTTTGGCAGGCAGATCACATACTGCATCACGTGTACTGTTGCCTCGCTTGATTGTTATAAGCCCAGAACTTTCACAACTAAAAGAAGAACAAGAGTCACATTCAGAACGTCACTGCCTTTCCCTTCGTTCCTCCCTCACATTTCTCTTGACTCCCTTTCTTCCTTCCTTCCCTCCATCCTCTCCACAAATTGTTTCCTTTTTTTTTCCTCTTTCCAGCAGTGCAGGTAAAGTTATGGCTGTTCCCTGGATGGACAACACTACATCTCAGTTGTTTACGTGCACATTTTTTTTTTAGTCTCTGTTTTAAGTGATGCCCATGTTTGGAATAATTTTGCATCTTTTTGAGCTGGACTTGGAAGCAAGTTGAATACACTGCAGTTTGTCTTAAGTTCTGCTTTGAGACTATTTATAAAGCCAAATATAAAGCCATATATTGCTGAATTTAAGAAAAAAAAATCATCATTTATATCTCACCTTTGATTCGATTTTATTTTCTAGTTTAAGTATTAATCATTTGACAATTTTATTACGCATATTTCAAAGAAGGAAAGTATCAATAAATAAATACTTAGTCCAGTTACGGCACCAGCCATTCACAACGTCAGAATAGGTTCCTGTGGCACATGGTTTACATCTGAATGTGAAGTCTAAAATGCCTGCAAGAGAATGTGCGTTATTAGTGGTTGGTGCCCTCACTGAAAGGTGGGGATACGGCAGATCAGAGCACAGTGCATTCCCTCCAGCTCTGTCTGCATTATGAGTCACCCCCCTGGCAAAACACAAGCAGTTCTTGCCACTTTTGCATTTTGGGAAACGCACGGGCAGAGCCCTGACAGAAGAGATACAGAATAATCTGATGCGACAGCAGAGGGTGTGCAAAGTTAAGAAGCAACACAGATAAAAAAAATCTTCTACAGACAGCAGTAGCAGCTTGGAAGAAAAGTAATACTAAAAGTCCAAGCAGGGAAGTGAAAGTCTCAAATTTAGGAAAGGAAAAGTTATAAAATAGGGAAGAGAGGGTTTTAGTCACAGAAGCCACACTATAAATGCCATTTCTCTCTGCATCACAAGCCTTCACAAAAGCAGGTTATAATAAGTGAAGGGAACTGCTGCTCCGCCAGCCATTTATATTGAACTACAGTAATTTGCATTTCTTCAGTTACCAGACTTAACCAGCTCCTCGCCCGCTGCACAGTCAGGCAGTTTTTCGCAGTACAGACATGGACTATCGGTACAGCTGTACCCCTGACGACACCTGCAGTCATGGTCCCCCGTAGTATGACAGACACCCACGTCTCCTGACAAAAAGAAAGAAGTCAGACTTGCCTTTGTCAGAGGCTAGAAATTAACTTAACCAGTAGTCTTACTGGTGACACAGGTGAAATTGTTCCTTCCTGTGCTGTGGTGGAAAATATTGACACCAGGAAGATGTCACTCCCATGCATACTGGATAAAATTTGAAGTACTCGAATTCAGGTCTTTACAGCACAGTTATCTGAGCACTGCATGACTTACCCCTGTAACCTTTCTCTCTTATCTGGAATATCAGTGTAGGCTGTGGTAGGCAGAAGTAAGGCAGCAGGTTTGCTTTACTACACGGTGCAGATTTAGACCCCGTGGTGTGAGGAGGGCACTGCCAGACCCCAGAGAAGCACCAGACACTAACTAGCCATCCAGCCAGCTCTCAGGACACTGCCAGAGCTCTTCTCGTTAGGCTCAGCCCTGTTAGAGGAGGGATGCCAAAGAGATCCTTGGCCAGTGAAGCCCGAACTCCTTCTCTGTGTCCCTTCCTAGCAACAGCAGCTGCTTCCTACACTCTGTTGGCATACGTGGGTCTAAATCTATGCCCTAAACCCAGGACCATTCCTGCCCTCTGTCCTATTTCTAGAGGAGTTCTGTTGTGAACTTTGCTTGCACTCAAAAAATATCATCTCTAATCCCGAGAGGTTCCTGGGTTCACGAAAGCAAAGGACTGATCACACTGATCCCACCAGTAAGCAGGATCAAACAGTCCTTCAGGCAGCTGGAGAGCAGTTAGAGGAAAAGTGCTGTCCAACCAGGAAGCTGTAAAACCTTGAAGAAATAAGGGAAATACTGGCTAGTTCAACAGTGTGCTTAAAAACCCACAGTGAGTAGCAAAGATCAAGCAAAGATTATTTCCTGAGATCGGTGATGGAATATACAGGGTCACCAGAAACTGCCCACATCTTCCTCTGCCCACTGGCTTCCTCTCGCCGGCCTTCAGAACTTAATGCATCCTGGCAGCGACACCGAAACAGCTTGGGGATGCTTCTGTCTGTGTATCACCAGGGGGTGATTCTGGAGCTGATCCCACCAAGCAATGAGTCTCCTACCTCATGCTGAATAACTTTATCTCAGTGGGAAGGGAAATACCCTGGGGCGTCCGCACTGTTGAGGAGCTCTTCACCTATTTATTGCTCACTCCCACAAATGCCGTGTGTCCACTCACTCCTTCCATGGAACTCAGTGTTCTTCTTGTCAGTTGAGGCAGATATATTCAAGCTGCTACTAAGTGGGAGGCTGACTCCTACCTAGGCACTGAAAATGTAAATTTTCAGCTAATCTTATTGCTAACCTGCAGGTCAACAGCCCTACCTAGACAAGGCTGCCAGCAACCCTGTTCCGGGACAAACAGAAAAGGAAGGTGCATTCGTTGCTGTAGGTCATAGAAACAGCTTCATGTTCCCCACAGTCCAGCTCTGGCTACTGTTATGGACAGCACTGAATTAGAAAGAATAGTATGATTGTTCCTGGGACCATGGAAGAGGCCATTTGAATCACCTGTTCTGTCCTTTAGCCTAACAGGCACAGCAGTGTCACTCAGTCTTGCTCCACCTCTAGAGCCTTAACTTGACTTAAAATTACAGGCAAGTGAGAATCCATTACCATCTCATCACCATCCTAAGATCAGGTAAGGCTATAGGATAGAACAGGCTGTTGAAACTAATGAGAAGCACAAGTCGGTGGGATGGACGGACACGGAACGGCGGGATGGATGGATGGACACGGAATGGCGGGATGCTTCCTACTCCTTAGGAACACCAATTGCAAGGGTCAGCCTTACCGAGAGCATCACTCCCTGTATTCCCTCCATGGTCTGAATGGCACAAACTTTGAAATCATGTCTGAATGGAGCAAGGGCTCAGAATCAGTGTTAAGTGAACACCTCCCTTCCTTGGGAGCAAGACCAGCCTACAGAAACTTAACCTTCCCTTTCTCACTACAGAATAACACATATAAGCACGTAAAAACCTCAAAACATGCGTTAGCTCTGAAGTTTACAGCTAAGGCACATCATGAATTTAGTGGGCAGGAAGGAAGCCCTTGCTGTTTTGTTTTGCACATTGTTACTCAAGATCCATTTACATACACACACACACACACACGCGCGCGCAACTGTTCCCCACACTTGATCACCTGGTTGACATAAAACAATATTGACAAACAGCAAGATGACAGCCACATCATTCCCTTACCTGTGTTTGAGCTGCATTTGGGGCAACATTTCTTTTCACCTTTACCGATTATCCTCAGTTCACCACCCTGGCACTGTTTTGCCCAAGTCTGCTGTGTCCATTGCCACAGGCACACCACCAGCAGCAGGGAAGCCCGAATCTTGAGGTGACCAACTTTACTTGTCCGTCCAGTCATGTCTTGGGCTATACAACCCAAAAGCTCACTAGGGTGGGCTTGTATCAGGACTTTCTTTCTCCTGATACTGTGGGAAAGCACTGTGCTTTTTGTGGCTGCACTCTTCCTGTTTCTTTAAGGGCGGGGAAAAGATTTTTATTTGACATCATCAAGTTCTTAAAAAAGCGGGGCCAAGCACCAGTGACTCCATCAAGAGAGCAGCAGGTTAAAAGCAAGATGTAGCATCACATAATTTGATTTTCAAAGGATTTTGCAAGTTGATATACAATTAAAAATGAATGCAAATGAAATTATTGTGTGAACTTCAGCACTCTCAGGTTACTTCATTCTGACTTAGAGTCCCTAATGAATTTAGAAACCTTCAAGGATTTAACTATCAGATTGCAATGTAAAGTCCATCCAACCGCTGAGATTTTTTTGATTCTGATTCTGTTAATTGTTTTCAACTTCCTTCACTCTGGATCAGGAGACTCTTGAATTATTTTCCAGAGCCAATGTAATTCCATATGGATACCATGAAACCACAAGAAAGAATACTGTCTTCCCCACAGGCTGCAAGAATCAGCCCTGGGACCAACACTGAAAATAGCTGCAATGGGCAGTGTAGGGACACACAGAGCTCCTCTGACCCCTACCCCCATGGGATTTAGGTAACAAAATACAGCTGCTCGACAAAACTGTACACAGGCCCAGACACGCTGCCTGTAATCATCACCTGTTGCTGGGTTTCAATTCCTAAATGTCTCGCCTTATACAAAGGCATATGCAAACTTCCATCTCTGCTGTGTGTGCAGACAGCTTGCTTCCCCTCGCCTCTATTTCCACCGTACCCTGGGGTTTGCTTCTATCCTTGTAGCTTGTGGTTACTTTTATGTGTGCACAGCGAAGACGGTATTTAAAATCCAACCTCATTCTCAACTGAACAGATGAATTCTGATGCACAAAAAAATTTTAACGGGTTCTTTTCCACACCGTGTGTGACAAAAATAGGTCAAGGCAAGAGAGAGTCAGATCTGTGAAAAGATGAGCGTCTCCAGAAAATACCATGCCTACAGCTTTTGACACTTGCCCTGTTAATTCCTTAGTTTAATACACAGCCAGTCAAGACTGAATAAACTTCTCAGAGACACCATCACTCTGCCTTCAGCTTGTTCTACACCTTCTGCCCAAAGATTCATCTATGGATCTCAAAAAGGAGGTCAGTCAACACATTCTTCATACAATCACAGACTGGTTTGGGTTGGAAGGAACCTTAAAAATCATCCAATTCCACCCCTCTGCCCCGGGCAGGGCCACCTTCCACCAGCACAGGCTGCCCAAAGCCCCGTCCAACCTGGCCTTGAACCCTTCCAAGGAGGGGGCAGCCACAGCTGCTCTGGGCAGCCTGTGCCAGGGCCTCACCCCCCTCACAGGGAAGAATTTCTTCCTTCTATCTAATCTAAATCTCCCCTCTGTCAGTTTAAAACCATTACTTCTCATCCTATACCTGTAGTCCCTGATGACGAGTCCCTCCCCACTTTCCTGCAGCCCCTTTCAGCCCTGGGGGGCCGCTCTAAGGTCTCCCCGGAGCCTTCTCTGCTCCAGCTGAACCCCCCAGCTCTCCCAGCCTGTCCTCACAGGGGGGCTCCAGCCCCCCCAGCATCTTCATGGCCTCTTCTGGCCCCACTCGAGCAGGTCTATATCCTTCTGCTGTTGGTGCCCCAGAGCCGGACCCAGCCCTGCAGGGGGGTCTCACAGAGCGGAGCAGAGGGAGAGAATCCCCCCCTGGCCCTGCTGGCCACCCTGCTCTGGGTGCAGCCCAGCACACCAGTGGCTTTCTGGGCTGTGAGGGCACGTTCCCAGCTCACAGTCAGTTTTCCACCCCCTGACACCCCCAAGTCCTTCTCCTCAGGGCTGCTCTCCAGCCACTCCTCGCCCAGCTGGGGTTTGTGCTGGGGATTGCCCCGATCCAGGGCAGGACCTTGCCCTTGGCCTTGTTGCACTCCCTGAGGTTTGCACGTCCCCCCTCTCCAGCCTGCCCAGGTCCCTCTGGATGCCATCCCTTCCCTCAGCGTGTCCCCACCCCACACAGCTCCGTGTTGGTGGGGAACTCACTGAGGGTCCCTCGATCCCACTGCCCCTGTCCCCAGCAAAGCTGTTAAACAGCGCCGGTCCCAACCCTGACCCCTGAGGACGCTGCTCATCACTGCTCTGCACTTAGTCTTTGGTCTATTCAGGGATCTACCTCGGTTCCTGTCAAGGCTTGGAAACAATCAGGTTTGGTATGGTTTTAAAAACGTGTGCTGCAATACTTCTTGTACTCTTAAATGTGCTAGGTGAAACCTTTCTATCAAAAGCTGACATCCAGACTAGATGCAAGCAGGCAAAAGACGCAGGTCTCTGTCGTCACTTTTTCCCACATAATACCCCTAGAAGGCCAACTGTCATGTTTCAGAAACCAGAAGTCTCCTACTTTGTACTCCTGCCACACAGGAGATCCCCTGCTCTTCCCACACAGCACTGCTTCTCACACTTGCCACAGTCTGTACCACTCACGCTACTCTGGAAACACAGACACACTGCCTGCTGCAGCTGCCAACTGGCCACAGAGAGTCCCGGACACCACGGTGCTTGGGTTCAGCCCCCCAAGTCAGGATTCCTTTCACCAGCTCTTCCAAACAGCGTAACCACCACACCTGAGCAGCAAGGCAGGGACAGGGAAGGTCCGCAGGGTGCTGCCCTTGGCCAGAAAACCTGGTGCACTCAGCAGCGTACAAAACTTTGTCTCACCCTCTTCAGAACTTTGCAGAATGTTACGATGAAGTTCCCAGGCAAAACACTTGGGCACTGCAACAATATACCCGGCAGACCAATCCGTTATGACCATTTCTGAATTGCACACAAGCCCTGACCAACTGTGAGGATATTCTTATTATCCCTTATCCTTATATCTCCTACCCTTTGCCCTTTGCCCAGCACAGGCTGGTACAGCTGGGAAATGTGGCACCAGCAACTTTCAGAAGCTCCTCGAGATATACATAAAGTGATTGTGGACCAGAGGGGATACACCTTCCTATCAGCCCAACACTTTCCCTGGCTCTGCAAGTCTTCCTGAGTCTGTGAAAGAGGTACTAATTCTCAACATGAAGAAAGCAACAACAAAAGTCCCATGAAGGAAACCCAAATTTCTTGAAATAAAGATTTCTTCATCATCCCCGCAACACCTACCTTCGAGGTCAGGTGCTTCCAGTTTCATTAAAAGTGTGTAGGCTCCCTGCAAACCTCCTAACAATAGCTGGCAACACTGACAGAAACTGTGGGACACATCACAAATGGTCTTAGGAGTAACCCCGACAAATCATTCATTCATGAGGTGTGCAGAGAAAAATTAACAGGAATAGGAAGAGATGGGATCGGCTCTGCGTGCTGCTGTGAGACTTACCCAGGGGTGAAGCTCAGGCTCCCCAGAAACTCCCTAAGGCCTTGTTAGGTGTTACTTGTACCCTGGGCAGAGTCCCCTGTCATTACTGATGTGGAGCAGACAAGCCCTGTTAGGATCCCGGCAGTTGTTCTGATGCCAAAGCTGCAGACCTGAGGAGCCAAGAGTCATTCAGCCTCATTTTCCTAAGTTACACCTCAAGGTCATACCCCAGAATAACTGGCACACCAGTCACTGATAACTAATGCTGCTGATTAACCCACAGACAGAACTGCTACTTCCAGCAGCAGCTGGGATGGGTCATTTTATAACTAACAGAAAGACCTGAGTGGTAGAAGAGCAGGTCTCTAAGTTAGGCACCACACTTAGTCTCCCAATCCTTACTCTCTTCATCTCTAGAAGTACAGACTAGATCACAGCTACCAGAAGGGACAAGGACAGTGCAGTGGTTCCAGATGGAGGAACTGGCCATTCCCCTGAAACTCAAATACGGACATTAATAACTAGCACTGCCTAAATACAAAATATGAACGTTAATCAGACTTGTGCTCGGCATCATAGACACAGCAATAGAGAAGTGACCTCCAAAGGTCCCACTGAGACAAGCGGCAGGTGGTCCCCAAGGGAACCCGAAGCCTGGCAAAGGCTGCAGGCAGGCAGTTACCACATAACCTAATACCTGGTGCCTACCAGAATAGGAACTAATAATTTATTTCCTCCTTCTTTTCTTGAATGTTGTGGGGTTTTTTTCTGAATTCGTCTCTACATGTTTACATTCTTGTTCAAGCATTACGATACTGCCAGATGATGGAACATTTAGTCAGATCACAGACAACAGCTGTACATGCCAAGTCCAAATCTCTAGAGTCAGCAGTGATCTTTCAGAGACGACTATCTGGCTTTAAAATCTCTGGGGTTTTCTAAAGATTTCTAAAGATAACCTTACCTGTCTCTGATGTAAGGTAGTGACATTTCATCTGTCAATCCCTTTCTTGCTCAGTCCTGTACGTAAAGTCAATGCTGCCAGGTTCCATGCCTCATCTCACAGGGTTTCCAGCTCTCTCTGCACCTATTGATAGAACAAATGCCTATTTCACTCATCAATAAGCAATAGTTCTCCCCTCCTCATCACCTGCCCGGTGGGTTTATTCAGCAGCAGTTACATGATTAACTAGACAATATTTGAGTGAGACTTTTCAGAAATTAGGAATCCTTAGTGTCTTTATCTTCACACACAAGCAGAGGTTCTGTGGCCTGCAGAGTTCTTTCAATCCATGTGAGCTGTGTTTAAAATTATAATCCCAAGGGTTAAAAGGCTGTTGGAAGCAGTGTGGTCTTTGGGGTTGTCTAAGCACATATATCATGAAGTGCCTTCTCCTTTGCATGAAACAGGAAGACACAGCAGAGTCTCAAAGAGGCAAAGAGAAGAAGCTAGAGGCCAAGATGTTCAGAAATGCCTCAGGGTTCAAAGTTCCAGCTGCCACTGGAAAGAAGCATCCAAATGATGCTGCTGTTGTCCCCTTGAAGAGAGACTCTGCGAGGGCTTGTGCTGGAGTTTGAACCAAAGGGTCTTTTGCGGGCCAGGCTCTCATTCCTCGGTCTTGGATGAAGAGGTCTTAATCTTCAGCGACTGTCTCCAAGAAATGAACCTCAGTTCTGAGCGCGAGGCCCCGCCGTATCAGACCTGGAGAAGATGGGTTTCTTCTCCTTCCTTCAGCAAAGGGAGGGAGGCACTGAAACACGAGTGGCAAAAAGACCCCAAGCGCAGCAGCTCCCTTCCTGCCCCGACTCCACAGGACGGACTGTCCCAGCCACACCTGCCCATCCCCATACAGAGCTCAGGGCAAATTTAAGGCTGAAACATAAGCACACAGCGACGGAACAGAACAGACATTACAGATCTAATCCCTTCAGCCTCCTCTGTGCTACCGTGACCTGCACACATAACACTAGAAGGAGTGCTCAGGGGTGAGGTCTGAAGGAAGAACCAGTGGATTCTTCCACCCACTGAAGTGCCCCAATGTGGCAGCTTGTACCTCGGTCTTCAGGGCACACATGCCTCAGAGTATTTACAGAACTGGCTGCAAATTCTACTCTTGCCCACCTTAAGGATATCCAGCCACGAGCTGAACGTGACACACATCACCAGATGTCTCATTTTACAGTTTCCTTTTTGGCTGAGGCCACCGAAGCCACCAATTTGCTGAACTGCCCAAAGTAATAACCTTTTGGAAAGAAAAAAAAAAAAAAAAAAAGGAAACAAAAAAGAACGTAAGTACTCTTCTCAAACACATAATAAGTTCTTGCAAGTCCGGTGGCTTTACTGACACTCCTTGGACTTAACGTCATCAATGAGAGAATTGTTACCAGGGAAAGAATTTGGTTTCCTGACTGAAATTTTGCCGATTACCCATAATGCATGACCAAAGCAACTCTGCACTTGTCCTGCAAGTGAGAGGTTGTTCACATGAAACCTACATAATTTCTGAATGACTAACGATAGACCAATGTATAAACTGCCTCGTAAGCTCCATCTTGTAAGTTGTTTCCATCCCACTGTAGAAAACTGATTGCCAGCTACAGGATTCACATTCTATTGTTGAGAACTTGTCTATGCGCTTGGGAAACTGTCAGTCAGTCTTTACTTAGAGTGCACTTTACAATGCAGTGACAGCTACAAGAGATGTTCCTCGCTCAAGGTGACGTGACCTGCCACGCCAGGGAACCTGTGGCAGAGCAGCAGTTCTGATGGACTGCAGAAAGCGTGGAGGAACAGTCAGTGCTGGGGTGCAGGCGAGTGCTGCAGCAAGTGCATGGGGAGGCTGCTGTCAGAGGGGACACAGGGACTTCAGCTCCCCAGAATATCATCTGAGCAGTGACAGGCCACATTGTGCTGCCCAAAGGCTGTTTAACACCTTTGTTGGGGACATGGACAGGGGGATCAAGCACGTCCTCAGCAAGTTCCCCACTGACAAGGAGCTGTGTGAGGTGGGGACATGCTGAGGGAAGGGATGGCATCCAGAGGGACCTGGGCAGGCTGGAGAGGGGGGACGTGCAAACCTCAGGGAGTGCAACAAGGCCAAGGGCAAGGTCCTGCCCGTGGGTCAGGGCAATCCCCAGCACAAACCCCGGCTGGGCGAGGAGTGGCTGGAGAGCAGCCCTGAGGAGAAGGACTTGGGGGTGTCAGGGGGTGGAAAACTGACAGTGAGCCAGCAACGTGCCCTCGCAGCCCAGAAAGGCCCCAGTGTGTGCTGGGCTGCACCCAGAGCAGGGTGGGCAGCAGGGCCGGGGGGTATTCTCTCCCTTTGGGGCCCCCAACATCAGGACAGGGACCTGCTCGAGTGGGGCCAGAAGAGGCCACGAAGGTGCTCGGGGGGCTGGAGCACCCCCTGTGAGGACAGGCTGAGAGAGCTGGGGGGTTCAGCTGGAGAAGAGAAGGCTCCGGGGAGACCTTAGAGCGGCCCCCCAGGGCTGAAAGGGGCTGCAGGAAAGCAGGGAGGGGTTCTGCATCAGAGAAGAGGGATAGGACGAGGAAGAACGGGTTTAAACTGACAGAGGGGAGATTTAGATTAGATATGAGGAAGAAACTCTTCCCTGTGAGGGGGGTGAGGCCCTGGCACAGGCTGCCCAGAGAAGCTGTGGCTGCCCCCTCCCTGGAAGGGTTCAAGGCCAGGCTGGACAGGGCTTTGGGCAACCTGGGCTGGTGTAAGGTGGCCCTGCCGGTGGCGGGGGGGTGGTGGTGTTGAAGCTAGATGGTCTTTAAGGTCCCTTCCAACCCAAACTGTTATGTGATTCTATGACTGGGGTAAAAAAAAAAAAGCCTAAAGACAAATTTTCTGCAGCCTGAAACTAGAAGACAAAACTGTTGTGTTCCTTTCAGCTCTGTTGACCTTTAGGCCAGCCTTGTGATGCTGTAGTGACTAGGACTGGCCACCCTGGGGTTTTCCAGACCTTGGGGTATTTGCAGTGCCTAATGCCTGCCCTCTTTTGGCCCACAGGGAGAAGTGCTGCCCTGCAAGCCTGCCGCAGGTAAGGCAGGGGGCACAGGAGACAGTGTGGCAGCAGCATGGGTGATTCATGTAGTGCCACACGTGGGCTCCCGAGGTGAGTGAAATTCTCACCCCAAAACAATTAGAGCTTTGCAAAGAACCCTGGATCCTTCTTTCAAGCAGTGCTAAGGACCCTGCAGCACGCACTCATCAGAGCTCTGCCTGAGCCTACAGAACGAGTCTGGAGTCTCTTGGACCCTTCTCCGGGCTGTCTGCACGGCCTGGACCCCACAAGTGGTGGCTCCGTGCAGACAATCCCAGTGGCACAAAGGCCAGGAGCAATGTCACTGACATTTCGTGGAGGGAAACCAAACCACACCAAGGTAAAAACCACAAGTCCCTGACGTTACCCAGCTGTGTATTTCCTCTCCAGCTTAGCACCTGCCATGGTGTCTGTCAGCGGATGTGACCTTTCTTCAGTCTCTCATGGCAAACCTGAGTCACCGTGATGCACTTCTAAGTCACAGGAGAACGTGAAGAGAAAAATGCAGGAGATAAAGGATCTGGAGTAGCCACAGTAGCAGAAACTTGTCACGTATTTGCAGGGGAAAACCAAAAGACAGACAAAGGAGGAAGTGAACATAAAAAGCATAAACTTTCAGACCTGTTTCGTGGATTTAAAAAAAAAATTATATTAACTACTGAAATATGAAATACATGTGTTAACTGCCACATCTGCAGTCTGAAATGAGCATTCAAGAGCTGCAACACCCAGCGAATTTATATCGTTTTTTTTCCCAACACGGCTCCCAAATACCATCGGTTCTTGTCCTAATCCTTCTCCAAAACTGACGACATCAAAGGGATAAGCAAAACAAACATCCACTTGAATCAAACAGCCTTGTTAAAACTCCAGTCAACCACATGTGAGAGCCTCACATGTAAGAGAAAAATTATTGTGGATAGAAATCCCAAAGACAAGAGGAGTTGCTTTTTTGTTTTGATTTCCCTCCTGGGTTTTTTTTTTTTTTGTAGCAATCTGACCTACCCTTTGTCTGTGTCTAATTACAAACAATGTAAAGGGCTGGCCGTGTGGCCTGTAACTCACGGCTAGCGCAGCTGAAAAGAAGTTAAATTATGCAGGAAAAAAATGGCATTATTCTCACCCAGAAAGATACTACAGGAATTACGAGTCAGTTTTACAAACGATTCTTAAAACAATCAAGAGACCAAATTTTAGTGATAACATTCCTGCAGACAGTTTTGTATGTGCTTAAGTGACTTCCACAATCGGGGCTCTATGGCAACCAAGATGCATTTAATTTACAAATCAGAGGGGTTCACTGAGTACTCTGACTGCCAATACAGTTCACGCTAAAACCAGTTAGCATTTGTTTGCGGAATAAGAGAACTGACACCTCAGCTTACTGCGTTACGCTGGAAAAAATTTCCAGTACAGCCCTATCTTCATCAGCTTAGATGAAGCTGCACAACTTAGACTGTGTCTCGCTCAAGTGCCCGAAAAAGGGGAAATCTGAATGGTTGCAAAACAGGAACTTCCTCTGTCACACAGGCCCGTTCCTTTGAGAAGGGAAAGTTTTGTTTCTGGCATGTAGGAACACAAGCGTGGGCAGAAGGCAGCACCAATTTGTTCAAGATTCTCTGCCTATTTTTAACTACTTTCTGCCATTTTAGGGAGGATTGGAACAAAAAAAAAAAAAAATCCAAGTAAGATTTTCACAGAAGAGTGACGAGAGTGAACATGGCAACTAAAACAAAAATTGTTACTCCTTTATTTAGAGTGAAATACCTAATTAGTTTATTTAAACTGACAATCTACCAACACCCAAATCCTCCAAAAAAAAATCAAATCGTAAATGCCTCCAACCCTATCAAATGTTATTAGGGTTTAACTCTTCTAATGGGATTATGTGTCTGGGCACAGTATATCCAAGGAGGCGCAGCTCAGACTGGCTCCCAGGTATGCATTAGCACAAAAGGCAGCAATTCCAGCCCCTGAGGGCTTGCTGTTACAGGCCTTCAGCCACACGCATGCTGAATCTTCAATTTTCTAAGTGGAAATGCAACTTGAACCTCAGCTACCCTACCTCTGCTGTGCACTTCCAGGACTGACATCAGTTCCTTCTTCAGCCAGAGAGAACCCCATGCCCTAGTTTGCAGGAAATCTCCCCATCAGGAGGCTGTGGGAAGGCACAAGAGCACAGTGCAGTCAGTGATCTTCCTGTGCAGCTGAGCCAGAGGGCAGAAAACAAGTGAGATTCGTGGAAACAGCTGATGAGCCCACGCCACAGAGGAGCTCTGCTGCCACAGCAGCACTTCTGTCAAGCCAACAGCTCATCTGTTCCTGCGGGCTTTCATCATGTAACCCACAACCTCAGACAGCTCACTAGCTATCTGCACCTTGCTCAGTTACATGGAAACGGGGTACTTTCTCTCAAGCACAGTCTACAAACTCGATAAGCATCATTTCTGAGAATTTGTTGGGTGTTCCCTGGAATCCATCTCTCAGATTGATCCGGTGCACTTTGTCATCCAGCTCACTGCAAGATGACAGCATTTAGGTCACGCACACTAACTTCACTACAGGGGCTCTGTGTTTTTGAAGGGGCTGAGCAGTCACATCTTGAACGTTCCAGCAACTCGCAGGGCAGAACTGCTGCCAGGCCAGATGTACAGAGAAAAACACTACACAGAGCTTTCTCATGTCACAGAGAAAGCCAGGGGCAAGGCAGCACATGAACGCAAAGCCTGCTAAAACCACTGGATCGACCATTTGGTGATCCTGCTTTCTCTAAGAATTATACACACAAGGGAATAACTGCCCATTTGTACTCTCCAATCATACACATCATACATGTGCATCTAGCTGCTACCACAATTTATTTCAAAAAGTCACTATCACACTTCGTATACAATACAAATATTTATATACATTGTATATGCACTTCAAAATAGGAAATTATTGCCAAGTACACCATATGTATAACATATAAAAAAATTATGTTTAAAAACATGTTCCTAGACACCAATTGTATTCTTGAATACATTTCCTGTTGCATATTTTGGCATATGCTTTGGTACTGCATATATAAAACACTTATCTCTAATGAGCTATCTACCAAGGAGCTGTATTTGAAGTGAAAAAAACACTTCTGTATTATATAACTTTCAATTTTACTTCCTGAACTTTTACACCGAGGTATTTAATTTACACCAAAAGCTATTCACAATAACAATTCCGGTTTCTCTCAGACACTTTAGATTTTGAACTCCCCATCTAAAATTTGAATGCTTTCCCAAAACTCCAGACCGATTAACTTCCGGAAAAAAACATCACAGAAGTAAAATTCATCTCACATAGTGTACAGGCAAAGAACCAAGTATTTTAACAGCGTATAGACCACACCAAGAACACTTCTTCAGTTCCGAACACAGGTTCCACTGACAGCATGCACAAGGTGATCATCCAGACGGAAGGTCAGGGCATGGTTTAGGCATCTATCCACTCTTACATCAGCTTTGCACCTCTTTGCTCACATGCAACCCTCGAAGGCCCAGATCACCAGCACTGCGTTAAGAATTCCACTCTTGCCTCTTATCAAAGGACATCCAAGGTGTTAACTCTTTTCTGAACCATCACAAAAATTACCATTCATCAGCAGAAAAACTCTAGAAGTCCATGTACGTGCTCCTAAAGACATAAACAGGCTTTCCCCAAACACAGAACACTCTCTAGAACCAAACTTGCTTGCGGGTTTCTCCCTCCATCCACAGCAAGCAATCAAGTGCCATAAAAGTGGTTTAAGCTAAAGAATTTTACTGTGGAGAAATCCAAGCTTGACTGAAGCAGCCTTGCTGATGACTGGCACACCAGGGTATTTGGCAGAATGTCCAAGAGGAAGCACACACGTCGGCTGCACAGGGCTCATAGATCAAACATCAGTTATACACGGCAACTTCTACAGTTAACAGTGCAGACAAGTGGTACTCAACTTTGTTTTTAAAACTGTTTTCCACTAATAATGTTCCAGTCAGAAACTACCATTCCCTTTGCCTTCTGACAATCCACATATTCTACTTTCCACTCACATGAAGATCCCCGTTGGATTTCCAAACACTTGGAGATCTGAAGCTACCCGATGATCATGAGTAATTCCATTTGTTGGCCTGACAACAAGGGTACTTACTGCTCAAGACATTAACATTACATTTTCTCAAGGGGTATGTTTGAAGAAATACAGAAAAGAGAGAATTGGCATCTCTCAACAGTCAGCTAGCACCAGAATTTCAGTGCTGTTGTGGAGCATGGCCAGCACGAGTTACCAGCAATGACAACTACCTCTGGAGGCACAGCTGACATATGCCACTCCACATGATTAAGAAGAATTAACTTGAAAAAATGGAAGCACTAAGGCAGTTGCCTAGGTTCATCAGGGGAGATTCTCCACCTAAAGTGAGGAGAGTTCATTTGAGAACTAGACTGAAACACCTGGAGGTACATAAACTGAGGGAGACATGCTCTGCTTTGCATCTCAGAATTGTAAGACAAGACATAAACTCAGTCATAAAGCAGGTCTGGATTTCCCTGTTTTTCTGCCTGCTCAATGATCAGCTCTGACAGCTTCAAAAACACTTTCTTCAGTCCAAAGACATCACTACATACAGAACTGGCTAGAAACGCACAGAGGACTATATCATGTTAGTTCTGGCAACACAGGATCTGCCTAAGAGAAAGAATCACACAATTCCACCGAGAACAGCTACTCCCCTGGGTCCTAATGCCAAAGGGGCTGCTGAACGAGACTCAACGGAACTGAAGTGCAATTAAACAGTCACACACACCCACACACAGCGCCACGGAATGCTGCCACATTACTTGTTGCAATCAATCAGCTCAAAAATGCAGGGAACAGTAACGTAATGTGGAGTCAGCTTTTGATGAGGCTGGAATTGGAGTCAATATGTTCTTCCTGGATAGGCTTTCGGCAGCTCCTTTCTCCTGAAAGACAGATAATAATCATAATAAAAATACTGTACAGAGTAGAAGAGGCAGGAAAGCTAGGGACTTTTCTAGTTTCATGGATGACTAGGCACCTATGAGTGACATTTGGGATGGTGCTTGTCTTTCCAGCCAGTGCTAGGAAACACCAAGTGTAGGGATCGCTCTAAGAATGGAACATGAAGCAGCTGTGGGCTGACCCAAGGGCCAGGCTGCCACTTCATTCTGAATACAGAGTTCAGCTCTTCTCAGTCAAACCTTTTCTATGTTTGCAGGAGACATGTCCAAACAGTTCACTTCTATATCAGCAAAATGTTCACAATATACTCTTTAAAGACTGTTGATCCTCAACCCTCTCTGGACTGAATAGAACTCCCTGCACAAAACCATTACATCCTTTTTGCAGCGACTAAGGGGGAAGAAAGCTTCAAGGAAGTTAAAAATCAGAGGAAGAGAGAGAGAAAAATCCTTCTGCATGGCAATAAGCAGGGCAGGCTGTGCTCTGTAAGAATGCTAACTCCAGACACTATGACCTCCAGTGCATCTGGGCTAAACAGAAGACCAACCACTGGTATCAACAGCAGATGACACTGTGCTACTTAGCCAGGTAGACTTGGTTATGATTGAAACAATTATCAAAGTTCAAATATGAGGCCCTGATTATTCTCTTTCCTATACATTTTTCCCATTAAAAAGAAACTCACCCTGATGGTTGTTTCTATAAGGCCTCTTCTTGGTCTCTTTTTTGGCTGCTTGGATAATCAACAGGAGGATGGACATTCCGCTCACCATAAGCAATATCAGACAAATAAGGATAAGTGATAAAGACCCTGGAACAAAAAAAAAAAAAAAAAAAAAAAGAGTACACTAAAAGAGATTCATGGTTCTAGTTAGAGTTTCCATGGCTTTACAGCTTCCAAAGAGGGAACCCTAGAACTCCAGAAGCACCCCTGAACCACAAAGACTAAAAGTCCCAGCTGCCAGACTGGCAAGAAAACTGGAATCCTGTGTGTCTCACTGAAAAAACTGTAAAATGCAGGTATGGCTTCTGAGCAGAAGCATGACTTCACTTCCAGTGAAATCAGTTTCAGGTGAAAATCCCTGACCAGCTCTAGTAAACAGAGACTAGACTCGGCCATCCCCTCTCCTTACCCCAGTTGGTCTCTGTGAGGCTGTTCTTATCCAGGCAAATGGAAGGAACCACACTGGGTCTGGGTGGTGAGAACACTGCGGTCGATGTATTATTCTTGTGGTCAGTGGTGGAAAGATTCAAAGCAGGTGTTGCACTCTGAGAGACAGCTGGCTGCGTGACATGGTTGCTGCAAACAGCATCATATGTTTTTGTCCCTGGTCGAAGAGTATTCTTCCCAAGAACGCTGCAGCTAGAGATGTAAAAAAAATTAAGTGTAGTTTTTCCAAACAGTAATGACTTTACAAGTGATCTCCATGGAACGAGTGAGTGAATATTACAATCCTTGTTTTATCAATACAAACTCAGGCTTCACCCTTCCCAGGTTCTACATGGGATATGTAGAGGATATGTGAAGAACATCTAAGCTAATCAGTTATTATTGGAAAAAAAAACCCCCGACATTCTATTTTTCTTAGCATCTGTACATATAACAGCCTTGAAGCACAGCTGCATTTAGAAAGGGAACCTTTTGCTACAGAAACAAAACATCAGACCTTTAAAAAAAAAAAAAAAGGCTGAGAATACTGTTGTTGCAGCAGGTGAAGAGAGAAAGGACAAAAGACAGACGTATGCTTCAAATCAGCACCACAGACTGTTCGAGGCTCCTGAGAGTCATCAGGAACACTGATTCACTGCACCATGATTTGGGCATCAACTGCTACAGAAGTAAACCCAAAATGTTGCTCTGCACATGTTTGGATCTGTGATACATACTTGGTCCAAGGTTGACAGTTTTCATTTCCCCCTGTGGAGTAAGACCCTTCAGGACACGGTAAGCATGCTGGAAAAAAAGAAAAGGGGCAGAACTTAAGTTCAGTTAGTAACATATTTGTATGACAGCTACACAGTAATTACACTGATAGCATATATAAAGTAGCCTAGCTTATAGAACAGACCCAACAAAACCCACATAGCTTCTAAAAACCATAGTTACTGGGTCACAAGTAACACCCATGCTCAGTGGTTCATTTTAGTCTGCAGCTAGCAAGGTTTCCAGTTTGTTCTACTGGCTAATCATGGGTATTAACACGGAGAGCATTAAGATTTCTGGCAGCTTGGGAATCACGGAGCAACAGTTTGTACTGCTGTAACACCTGTGTGGAGACATCAGTGAGACGACAACAGGTTTCACACTAGAAATAACAACGCTCTCCTCTGAGGTGGAGGCAGGTGTTTGGAGAGTCTGACATATCACTAACTCACCACTTCCCAGCGTGTATCTGATATCTGGCATGTAACCTGCAACACACATGCAAACTCTGTCAGAGGTCTTCTCGCACTTCTTCACTTCCACGCTCCCCTTTCCTAGCAACAACAGAATAAATGGCAAGTGAGAGACAAGAAGAAAAAAAACCAAAAAACTACTCAGTGCCTATCTGCTGTGTGTAGAAATAACTGCAGAGAACAGTCTATGAACAATTCTGAAGACACCAGTTTTCAGGCAGTACAAGCCTGCTTCCCTTTGACTGCTCTACCACCAGTACCCACCAGGAGATATCAGCCACTGAAATACCAACTCAGCCTTGGGACCTGGTCACATCTCAAGTGACAGGCTTTATGACATCAGCCTCTGAGGAGCGTGCAAAGATAAGAAAGCATACAAAGACTGATGGCCTCACATTTGTATCAAGAAATGGCCACTCCACAGCTGACTTACTAGTGTTGCAGATGGTACAACTCTTGCAGAAGCTGTGGTTGTGCTCGCTACTAAAGTATTCATCTTGACAGGGAGCACAGACTGTGTCTGTTCTTGCAGTGCAACGGCTTCTCATTCTTTCACCTAAAACAAAGACCACACAGAAGGAGGAACTGATGTTATCGGAAGGAAACTCTCTTCATTTTCATGCATTAGAATGAAAGAGTGCCCAGAAAGCGACAGTTCCACTTACAGCTCTGGCTGAAAACATTCAGCAGATTTAGAGACACCAGAATCTCTAGAAGTTTTGACTGCTGCACTGTAAATTAAGTAGCTCTAACGGGTTAGCAAGGGCCTGACGACTTGCTGAGAGTTGAGGCAATGCCTCAAATGATTCTCACAGGGGATTCCAAATATTACTTCTCCAGACCACCTTTTCATATGCTTTGGACATCACAGTTTGCAGCCAACATCAATTAGGAAAAAAAAAAAAAAAGCAGGTTTTTAGCACAGCAAGAGGTCTAATCTCCAGTGTAATACAATGGCTTTATGACAGATCTTGCCTCCCCTTATGAGATAAATCATGCAATTCAACCCAAAGTAATCAGGTACAAGAGATGCCAAATATCTGCTCAGGTTTGCAGAAAATTCGTTAGTGAAGCAGTCAAGAAGAAACATCCGTAGTATCTTTCTGCTGGCATTCTGAGAGCCCATCAGGCATGAAAGAACACGGTTGTATTTTGATATGCATCTGTATTGCACCCAGCGAAGAGGTTACTAGGTGCATTTCATAAACAGCGAGAGACAGCACAAGACGCAAGGCAGGCATCCGATGCTTTTCCACACAGTACGTCTGTATCACATGCTGCATCTAGAGACAAGTTCAGAATGCCTGCGTGCACACACTCCAACCTGGACGATGCCCACCGCTTACACACCTTACGATGAGAAGCTCTGTGAGCAAAGCAACTTGCCCACGCTGAAACAGCAGTGATTAACCGTGGATTTTTGGAAAGTCAGACACGTTCCTTCTACCTCGTTAGCTTTTCTCCACATACCACAGGCTGCAGGACTATAGACAGCTTTAATGAGTCGGGTTTTACAGCTGAGCTTAAATACGTCCTTATTCTCACAGACTGTTTCTTTCATTTCGGTTCCCCATTTTCCCGTTCTGTAGGTGAACAATGAGCGTCAAGTCTCTTGCTCACTGTGGTTTTCTCTGTATTTTATTGAGTGGCAAAATACAGGAGATTTTTAGTGACCACATTAAATGTAATAAACTTCTATATTTTTAGGATCTACACAATCAGGAAGAGACTATGAAGAAACATTTCCCCCCAACGGCGGCAGATGTGCTAACAACACAAAAAAAAAAATGCTAGAAGTTCTTTCCGCTTAAGAAGGAACAAAAAAATTTTACAGAGATAAAGGATGATCTGTATCTGCACACAAGTATGCTTTCCTTTACACTGAGTTCACAAACACTCAGATTTAAACAGTTTTGAGAATAATGCAATAATAAACTGCCTCAAGTCTTAAAGGTTGAATTTATTCCAGTTAGCATCTTTGAAGATACTGCTACTGCATCAGTTCAAACCATATCCATTTTATGTAGCACTTAATTATGGGAAGAGAACTAAACTATTCTGAAGGATGCACAGAAAACCGTACACAAGATTTTAAGTTGCAACTGCATTTACATGATCTACACTCCCTTTAGGCACATACACATACCCTTCTTTCAGTACAGGCAGTAGTGACTGTACTAAAAATCACTCTACTAAAAATCACTTCTGTTAAGGGGCAATCCCCCTGAACAGCAATATTACCTGTTAATTGTTAGCACGCTTCATCACTGTCATTTCTACAATGAAATCCCAACTATCAAAGTATTTGAAGTTTGACATTTTGCATTTGTGCTTCTCAATACTGCACTGGCTTCAGAGATACTCAGATTGTGGAAAGAAACCCACATCTATGCATGCAAACCCCAGAATTCAGACTCATTCAGCTTCTGCAATAAGAAAGTTGGAAACAAATACACTTCATACCAAGTTATGCTTTGCTAATCTCTGTCTATGAATCAAGCGTATCTGTTTTCCTTAAAAAAAACCCACTGAGTCTTAAGTAGTATAAGCACTGCTATAAAAGAAAGCTTAAGAAAACATCTTTAGCAATAGAATTAAACCCCTAAAGTTTTCCATGATTATTATGCAAGGTTTCTGAGCTTCTTTATGCGATAGGAAAAGAACAGCAATATAAATGCTACCATCTTTTCTCAGCTAATACTCCCACAATGAAAATGCACCAGACCGACACATTAAGGAAGCTGAGCCACACAAAAGAAGTTAAAGAACATGTGGCTCCCCCAAAGAGGAAGATTCCTAAATTTAGTATGATATAGCAATAATCTTTGTCAGCCTAGACTGAAATGAAAGTCTCCTTAAAATAATTTTTCCCCGTGTTATGCCTCCTACATGTCAATGGTATTTCCATCAAGCTGTTTTCTACCACGTGTGGGTTATTAACTGGTAGATATTACATCGAGCAAGTATAAACAACGTCCAGTGAAAATGGATCCAGTGAAAATACTTACCGGGGGCACAGTCCTTGCAGCATCTTTCACCAAAAGGATATTCATGTTCTTTGCATTTCAATTTCAAGCAATGGCTAACAGTGACTGCCAGCAGCAAGAACAAAACAGTAGAAAAATGCAAGTCAAAACCTACAGCTACCATAATGCAGCCCTACTGTTCCAGCAAAATTTTGAAAGTGGCAAACTTTTGGAGAAGTGATTCTAAATTGCTGATGGCCCGAGCAAATTCATATGTCAGTTGCTGGGAAATTCCCAGTATGTGCTCCACGCCCCCATCCTTCTTCCCACACCCCATAAAACTATTTTCTGCCGTTCACAACTAAAATATTCACAGGTAGAAAGACAGCATGCTGAATAGCATTATGAAAAGATTTCTATTTGTAGCCTTAAAACAGAGTGCCTCCGGCCAGGTACATATCTCTCTCCGTAGTATTAAAGCACAGGCGCTGAATGCCAGAACTAGAGGAGATGATCCTTGTTACTGCGAAGAGGAATATTAAAGCAATACACCTGAAAACCTTTATAGATGAAAGCCATAGTAAAATGAAACATAGCCCACACAGGCTTGCTCCTTAAAAGGTGAAGTACAGATTCTCTCCCCTTGGTCTCACGGTAACTGCAGACCCGTGACTTTTATTGCTGCATAAAACCCCAACATTGTTAATACTTTCCTCTTCTGAGGAAGAGTGTGGAATCACAAATCCTCAGTCATCCTGATATTGCCCTCAGGAGCTAGCAACAGCTACAAATGAGAAGCGTTCGCAGTCTCCATTTCAACTCTTTAATATCGGACTCCCTGCATTGCCACTGAAGAAGAGGAAGCTCCTGACACCACGATAAAGATTTTGTGTTAGGTCTCCCATCTGCCCCCATGCAAAAAAAAAAAAAAAAAAAGGGATGCAATATTCACGTACCAGCTACTTTTGATGCCTGTTTTATCTCACAGAAGCATGTTAACTCTGGAATCCAAGCCCCCAGAAAGGCTTCTCCATCCAGCTGTGCACACCAGCCACAACAGGCCAGCAACGGAGGAGGCTGGCTAGCACGCTGGCACTGCAGTCCTGCCCTCCCATCACACAGGCACGCAGAGTAAAGAGATCCCACTGGGAATGAGGGGGTTAACTTTCCAGGCTCACTATCAGAATTTTACTAATTTGATCTCACTAGGATCTAAATGTTAGGTCTCCCAGTTCTAAGAGACTTGAGCGACTCTTATGCAAAGGCCCAAGTAAATTAAGACATCCTACGGTAATTAAAGATGCTTTATTTAGTTTAGTTAAAAACCAGAGCCAGACTTCCCAGACAAAGCAGATCTACAGGCAATTTACATCTAAATGCAAAGGAGATTTTGAGTGGAACAGAAGTACATCTGGAATCCCAACTGCCTGCAGTATTTGGGAGGACTGAAGAGCAGTATCGTGGCACATTTCACCCAGAACTGCCACTTTTCATTTCTTTCTTAAATTTCTGTAAGACTGCTTAAGAGTGGAAGGAGAGACAAAAGTGAGATGAAACACTATTTTCCCACTTTTCAAGCATTCTGGAAAAAAAAAAACCCACTATGGAAAAAGAAGTAATAAAGCCATTCTTTCCAAAAGGGAGTAAAGCAAGTAAACCATACCGGCTGCACTTCAACCACCTTCACACTCCGTACCTGCATGCAGGAAATATCCAAAGCTCTTCCCACTGTAGTATCACACTCAATGCCATTTAAGTGGCTTTATGCCTCATGATTCAGTCATTCCCTCAGCAACGTTTTACCAGATTTTTTCCCTCCCCCCCCCAATTCTCTTTCACAAACAGTAGCAGACTTTCCCTATTCAATGTCAATTATTATTCAGTAAGAAACTGAAAATGCAAATTCCTGTACTGTTCACAAACAAGGTAAGGTTAAAAGTCTGCTGTATATATTTAAACTGAAAACTCCCCAAATACTAGAGCAGCGATGATCAAGTACCTATATTCTTGTTAAGGATACTTTAATAGAAGTTAAATGCTCATTTAATGAAAGCAATTAGCCACGTACTATCTGGAGAATTCAACCTTTATGTATGGCATCCTTAAGTTACCAGGCTTGGTACTGACAAATGCCTTTACGTGGCCATATTATGCAAATAAATAAAACAGGGAGAGAAGACAGTGATTATCCCACAGCATTTCACACCTAGCACACTCCTTGGCTGGATTTTCACCAATGCAAATTAATCTTTCCCAGATGCTGCTTGGCACAGCCATGGGGATCATATGTGCCAAAGACTGCTCCTGAAAAACCACCTGGGTGCAGCTACTCTGGTTGTAGTAGGAGGAGAGCTTCAGAGCGGTGAGTTGAGCCATGCTATGGGTCAGAAATAAGAACCTGTTCTGCTTTTATTTAATATACATGTATCATTTTTGAATATTAATGCTTACCCTAGTCTATAGAAGCTTACGAAACACGTCCATGAGATAGTAGCGCTCGCTTGTGTACATGAAAAAAACCCAACCCAAACCTGAGCATGGAACTCATAACTAGTGCTTAATGAAAGGCTTTAAAGAAAAAGCCATTTGATTCTTTAGGGATTAAAGGTAAGTAAGGGTTCACCTATAGGGAAGGACCTACAAGAATCTGAGAAAGACTGAGTGCCTATAAAATACTTAAAGATTTTTTTAAAAATAAATAAGTCTATGGACAAATTACAATAGTTTGAACTAAAATTTCAAGACAGGAATCATCTCCGGTACCTCCAAATCTCACCATGCAGTCCAACTTTATCCTTACAGCTGTTAGTTAACACGTGATCCTGATTTCTGGCCGAGAAAAACAAAACACAGTATGGTGCAGAACTCCATGCATACATTAAAAATTAATTTTTTGCCATTGTTCCTCGAGTTTCAGATTCATCAGGTGTGCGGCAAACGCTGCAACAACAGTACCTACGTTAACTTGTTTGCAGTTGCTAGCTAAATACTCTGTTACCTTGTATTTTTCAAGGGATTCCACGCTCACATTATCAGAAGGTTGAGCTGAGACTGCGTATGCATAATCTTTGCCTGCACTGACAGATAAAGTTCCAAATTCCATCACCACGTTTCAGCTGCTCAAGAATCCCACTGCAAAGCAGCACTTGCTTTCTGAGCATCAGGTAGGATAAAGTAGAACTTGGCCACTCAAATTATATCTAAACAACTGAATTGTGCAAACAGAGTATAATAAAAGAACGCAGTCAAGACATTTATACAATTATCAACTAATATTGCTAAAACTCTTTTCTTAACTACTGTGGACAACTACATTGCAAAACTGTATGTTTACACCTATAATTTTCTGTTAGTTCAAAGTGCAAGTCATTGCGTATTTATAAACCCTTAATTAAAACAACAGCAAAGCAAAACCTAGAGCTTTTGTCAGTGAATCTAAACCCGCCACATCTATGACTTCTTCTAAGAACCACATTTTTAGACACGGGATTTTGTTTTGAACGTCTCCAGATTCTAACCATGTTAAAATCTCACTACCCTGCAATCAAGTGTGTTGGTACGGGGGTGGAAGGGAGCGGGGGCTGACTAATGTGGCAGGCATTCTAAACTCATTTTAACACAAGATTATCAACTGAATTTATCTCTTACAGTTCCTTCAAAAAAAAAAAAATCATATTTTGTCTCTCCTCTGAAGAGTTTCAATTTTTCCCACTCACTGACAAACCTAAAACCAGCAACGTTTCCAAAGCATGAAGAAAAATATTTAATGAAAAAAAGATATGTGTATATAAAAACTCTTGATACAAGCCATTTAACAAAAACAAAACAAAAAAAGGAGAGGGAATACTGAGTCAGAAACAGACAGCAATACTTATATTTACATTATATTAAGAGAATAAATTTAATCAAATATAACATCTCACTCGGATTTTCAGGCAACCCTTCAGAAAGAGGGGTTTTTTACAGTAAAGATGGAACCAGAGTAAAAATAAATTTTCTATTTTAGACAGTAGTGGATATGACCCTTGTGTTACCAGATGCTTTCGGAGATTACCCAAAACCAGACTGATTAAAAAAGCTTCCCGGGTGCTGACGGTACGTTGCTCTGGCAAAAGCAGTTCAAAAGCAAAGCCTGTATTTCCCCCAGCTTCATCATTCATGAGTTCATCAGCCTCAATGGTCTGCAGAGAGGCAAGTAATTATACTAGTTTTCACAATGAATTTTAGTTAAGTTGTAATAATACACCTAGGTGACTCCCATTGCTTATGTTTTAAAAAAAAAAAAAAATAATATTTCATTCTCAAATGGAAGAATGGGAAAGTTTGTGAACTTGATGTTGGACAGAGCAATCTCAAGTCTCTCATATTCCCATTGCTGCTGCAAACACGAAACCTGTCACACTACAACCAGTTCTCTTTTTAAAGTAGATGCTGAAGAGTTTCTCTGTAACATTTAAACTAAATTCCTCCCCACAGCCCCTAAAGGTAGTTCAGTGATGGAAGGAGAACTTGTATTAAATTCTCAACAATATGTAAGTAGGTTGAGATACGCTGAGGAAAATATTGTAAGATTAGCCAATCAGTCTATGGATGGATATTCTCATGAGGTCAGAGCATGTATTTGAACCACAATCCCCTTTACAAGAAGCCAACTTGTTTCAGTGTTATTTGTGATTTCCATGGATCAGCAGCTATGAGGGCAACAAGAGTAGTTAAATATTTAAGAAGCCTCCACCAAACATGATTAGCCAAAAGCAGCTGAAACTTCAGCTGGATTAACTGTACAAACCAGGGTGAACTGATGTAGATGCCCCATTATTTATGGACCTGCTTTTTCCCCTCATACCAAAGGCAACAGAGCTGTAGATCTTATGTATGGACGGAAGGGTTTTTTTAAGTCTAGGACAACACACTGTAGGCATATAACACAGATAGCAGCAAAGTAATGTTCTGTCTGTTTGGGGGTTGGATTTTTTCTTTTTTTTTTTTTCCTCCTCTTTTGGGGTTTTTTGTGAAAGCAAGAAAGTGCTTCAGAGCTCTGGAAAAGTGAGCAGGATCAGAACTCCTCATGGACGTTACGTGCATAGTCCATAAGCTTGCTGCCTGTGAAGTATTCACTGTATTTCAGGATCTCCTCCAGCTCTAAGTGATGGTTTTGATTTTCATCTGCTACTGCAATCATTTGCTTCGCTTCATTTAGGGCATTGTATTCATTCATAGGATCCATATATTCCTAAAACAAGTAAGAAAATTATTTTCAGTCACTAAGCACACATTTCCACACATCAGAATTAAGAACCTGAGCTGTATGTAAGCTTCAGGAATTATAAGACCAACATAAGACGACAGAAGACATCGAAAATGGTGTTAGCATTCTCTTTAACAGGCTTACATCTATCCCCTAGCTACTTTTTCAGTCACTGCTTCCTTGGCTGTTCTAAGAGAAATCCAGATTTTCTCAGCTTATGCCAGTGTCTACAATAAAAATATTTTTGACATTTTGGTTGCAAACTAAACTCACTATCAAATCTGGTGGTTTTTGTGAAGAAATACCAATTCAACATTGAAAAATGGCACACTATCATCCGTCTGACCTAAATTTTCTTGTTTCTGGAGATAATCTTCTCAGAACATGTTCAATTTAGAACTTTCTTGTTCCATTTTAAATGTCTTAACGTCTGCCTGGTGGCAGAAGGTCAGAAGTGTCAGAAACAAAGCATTTTTCTTCTTCACTTAACTTGAAAGAGATTGAAAGTTTTCAAGCAGTGCACTTTAGTTCGTGATGTGGAAAAAACTCAAGATTATCTTCAATTTCTTTCCAGAAGATGTGACACTTTGTGCATGCACCTGCGTGTGTATACATGTACAAAGACTTCACGGATAAAATGGTTATTTTTTAGGAGAAAATTCTCAGTAAAAAGGCTATTAACATTGTCTATGTCACAGTATAACTGTTTATCCATATTACCACTATTGTTCATACCCACATATTCGCATACAGAGACGGTCAGGAAGTTTAACATCCTGTCTCAGGGAGAAAACCCAACATTTTAGAGGGTGTCCTTTCATGCTGCCTGTGCTGCAGTCTGAATTCTGCCAGGCAAAGTACATTCTTACAGCCAGAAAAGCAAAAAAGCCAGAAATGAGCCACAAGCCTCTTCCACTGGCCACAGACTGCCACAACTATAGGGTGCAAAATATTTCATGTTGTTTGGTAGACCCACAGACAGAATGATTAAAAAAAAAAAGCCTTACTTCTGCAAACCAGAGTCCCAAAAGTCCACAAACTAGAATCCATGCTTGAATTTTTTTTTAAAAAAGAAAAACATTCTCAAAGACAAGAAATCTTTGCTATTTTCTAGGTTACTGGAGCCCCAGGGTTTGTTGGTCGTTGGGGCTTTTCGCTTTTTTTTTTTTGTAATGAATATATAGATTGCCAGTTATTTCTTTTGCAACTGAAAGTATGACTCATTGTCCCATTAATGAGTGCACCTAATGAAGTCTGTGACTTGCTTGTTTTCATGCACTCTATATCCATACAAGTGTATGTGAGAAAACCCCCTAAAAGCATACCTATGAATAGCAGTTACGCTGGGAAATCTCCCCCTCCCTCTAACAAAAAGCAGAACAACACTATCTGCAAGCACGGTAGAACAATATAAATAATGCAGAGTTTTGTAAAGTAGACACACACACCGTACAGTTAATTCAAAAATGTTTGGACTTCATATTCTCTAAAGCAGTTTCAATCCTGTATTTAAAAAAAACCTACTGGTTTTAAAAACACTAGAACTAACCATTTGAGGAAGACTTACCTCCAACTCTTCCATTGTGACAATACCATCGTGGTTAGCATCAATGACCTCTTCAAACTCCTTCCTTCTGTCTTTTACCCAGTCATCATCAATATCCTGAGCCTGCTGGTTCTCTACAGTACCAACAGGTAATGAAATGAACTCTGACAGGGTAAGTTTCTTATCTCCGTCTTGATCTACAACAGAACAACACAGTAACTGAAGTGTTTAATGCCCATTAAAAATTAGAAATTCCTTCATGTCAGAGATGTCACTTGTATGCTCTGCCTGGCTTCAGAAGCCTACAGTCCTGCCTCTAGCACAGAACAGTTACCGTTTGTATCTTTGATTAACCAAAACCCCTCTGTATTATGATACATACACAATTTTTCAGAAAGCCAAAAAACCCCATATGCTCATCAATATACTAAAAAAAAAAAAAAAAAAAAAAAAAGAATTTTTCTGGACCTGAAGGACACACCAGGTAGCAAGCTGTTTTTTGTTTTTTTTTTTTATTCTTTTGAATTTGTTGTTTATTTTTTCAACAATCTACTGCAACAGACATTTCCTTCCAGCTGTATCCAGTCTCCCCTTGTATCAGCATTCAGGTAAATTAACCCTCACAAAAGACTGCGTACTGGAGTTGTTTTGTCTGTGCACATCACACACTCGGGTATCACTGGAAACTCTTCATATTTATTAAGCTATCAAGTAGAAAAGTCATAGTTCTCTTTTTTTAATCTAGGTGTTCTAGCAGTTTTAAATACGCATTGCTATTGACTCGATAGAAAGATAGCATGTGTGCCAATACTTATGAATTTAAACAAAAATAATTGTTTTCATAGAAACCTCAACCATTTATTTCCACTTTCACGACTGTACGTCACGATTCTTACCTGGTTGCTGTACTGGGGAAGTACAAAGCAAGTTCCTCACAGAACATTCACATCAATATATTTTATAGCATTTTATTATTCATCAGAACTTTTCTCCTATTGATACAATGACCCTACATTGCAGCAGCACTTCAGTATGAAGCAGTGTCAGCTGTTCTTTTCTGTATGAAGTACTCAACCTCTCACAAAAAAAAATGTTGTGCTGTTCTTTAACAACCAGAGACTAAATTTAGTCTTGAGAGATGCACAAACAGCTCCACAGAGATGCCAGCGTTTGTGCTAACAGTTTGTTTTCCTTACTCATCACATCAGAAGATGTGTAGAACAGAGCAAATAAGATGTTTCAGACTGACCCACGACAGTGCAATGACCTAACATCTACTCAGTAAAACGGTTTGCAAGTAAACAAGCTCCCAAGAAACGTGTTTTTAAAGTGGCATACCCAAATCTCGGATGATTTCTTTCACCATGAACTTCAGCATTCCCCTACTATGCTCTGGATGAAGAAAGGACAAGAATTCTTCTTCGTTCAACAACAGATCAGGAGGTGGGTTGTCAGCTTGGTACCACCGATCCTTCAGGTTATCTAAAACTTCCTGTGCTAGAATTTAAGAAAAATATTTAAACATAATCATGTTCAATCTATTTAAAGTACTTAAAATATATTTTTCCCTGTGACTCAGCTGTTTAAACAAGGATGACCTACGAACCTATTTTACAGTTCAACTCCCAGGGAAAGTGGGTGTTGAGGGGAAGCGAAGTACAATTAGTTTCGTCTAGTCTGTGCTGAAACATTAGGAAAGATCCTTTAATCAAACAACTGAACTGAAATTAGGAGATGAAAATAAAGATTTAGCTACACTTGTATCAAGTGAAAACTATTGTCCTACCAGTACTGTTAGCTGGTTCTGGTAGGAGTTATGAATAATCCAACTGTGTTCAGTACTTCTTGTTCTCCTGTCTTGCTTTCATATTTTGAAGACAACTACCAACAGAAATCTTTCACCTGCCTGAATACCAGTAGTACCTTTTTTCTGAACAAATCACTTTTTGTCTACTTTAAACCAGTCCTGTACATAGAAAGAGCCACAACATTCTTCAAATTTAAAATATTCCTCAGATTCACTATCTCCATGCATTGCAATTGTGACACCTAGCTAATATCTATAAGGATGATGTTAACCAATTCTTTTCCTACCCAAACAATAACCACAGAACAACAAACCCTTTAACATTTAGCATGTTTTCTTCTAAGACCAAATGCCATGACTATTATTAAATCTAGAGAGATGTTTCTGACCTGTGAAGCACCATTGTATTAAACAGATTATAAAAGAAACCCCAAACCACCAAAGCCTAGTTTTCACATAAACCAACGATACGTTTCAGTGGACAGCTGTTCTTTACAAAGCAGCTAGCTGAAAAGGCAGTATAAGCAAAGCCATAAAGCAGAGGGACTAGGAAAGCTATAAAGAGACTTCTGCCATGCCTCTGCTCCTCCCTTCTCCCTTTACACTGTCAAAGGCTCAGAATTTAGAAGAATCTCCTACCCAGAGAAAACTTAAATCCTTAGATACACAGATATGATTCAGTATTTCAGCCTAAAAATGTGATTTGTTGGAACTAGGAGAGATTTAAGAGGTCTACAAAAGAAAGTTTGGAAACATCAAGAATAGATGCTCAGCTGAGCACCAAGAAATGCATTGAGTTTTCAGTCATTTAAGAGTACAAGTGCTTATTACTCCTTTTGGCTACCTTGTCTATTCTATATCAGAAAGCATTCTGACTTCAGTCCTAAACCCTGCACGTGTTTTAGTTACCACTATAACTTAATAAAGGGAAATATTTTTGCTGCAAGGAGCAAATGCAAGTTGAAGTACAGATGTATGAACACATATATCAGCACCAAAAATCACTTTACATTTCCACCTCTTTCACTTCAGCTTACACCACGCAGACAAGCACTTTTTAAGTCGATTTTTCCTAAAATCAACTGAGAATCATAATTTGTGCTTGAATTTCCGCTAAAACCATACATCTGATTTGAAGCAAAAAAAAAAACCACCCTGCAACACACAACGTGAATATTATGTGCACCTAGTGGTCCTGAACATAACCAAACAGGAAAAAAATACCTGCATAGAGTATTCTTTTTCTGGTGTAGGCATTTTCTAAATGACACACTGGAAAAACTACTGTCTAGTACACCCTGATCTCTGCAAAATAGACTAACACACACAAATCTGAAGCATTCACTTTTCACAAGTTTTAAAAAACACTCTGAAAGACTACAGTCTCCAGATAATAAACTTTTTAAAAATGTAATAAACTGTCTTAAATAGCTCCTGCATGCTTTTGGTTGCTGAGTTAGAAAGAGGGGGAAAAAAACTCCAACACTTACATCCACATTTTTCAACTAGTTGCAATTAAGAGTTAAAGCTACGCTGCTTAGTCTTAAATGAAATGCAGCTGTCAGTCATCAGTTGAAACTGCCATTATCTGCATAAGTTAAATCAAATTGTGTCTTTAGTTTTGGCCTGGCATCCAAACTGTAGCATGCTTCTGCACAAGACTCAGAACATGCCTTAAAAAATAACTGAATGTGTGGATCTTATTATAGAAACTGAAAAAAAAAAAAAAAAAGTACTTTTACACTGCACTGGAGTATGAAAATAACGTTTTTCCTGTCATCTTCAGGAAGCGGTAGATACCTAATTTGATTTTCCCAAACAAGGCTTGTTACCTAGGTAGAAAAATGATTAGGTACACACTTCCCTTATTCAGCAAATCTTTTATCTGATGAGCATTCCTGTAAACTGTAGTTAACCACACTGCCATAGAACACACTGCACAGGTGCTTTCCCTGACATAAAATTCAAAGGCCTATTTGCATTTAGTTGCTTTTTGATAAATGGAAAATATAACATAACCCACTTTTAAATGACTAATTCCTGCAAGGAAAGTCTAGGGCTTTGTGTTTTAGTTAACAGTAAATTTAAACACTTTTAGATGGTGGGGAGGGAGCAGGGAGAGTACTCTGTTAAGAGCTGTCACGTTTATACCAAGCCAGATTCAAGTGAAAGCTTTACAAGTAATAGTGAACAAATGATCAATCTCTCTCTGTAGAGAACTTAGATGAAACAATTGTAGGCAACCTTATTAACTTCTCGTGTGTTTTGCAGTGCCTAAGCACGTACCTACTTAAACACAACACTGGTAGCACGTACACAGCTCCCCAACTTTAGGCCGGGAATTGTGTACAGCAGCTCCCTTTCATTTGGAGCAACAGGGGACCTGGTTCCCCCATTCACAATATAACAGTGCACAGACCAACACAGGTCTGAAATTTTAGCAGGCTTAAACTGAAAACTATTCAAATCGGCAGTAACAAATAAGCAACCAAGAGTTTTCAGTGTTCAACAGTTACATCAAGAGTGTTGGGAAGGCAGATTTGAGTTGGAAAGAGATGTAGTATTTCTGTCTTATGACTTACACATTCTACATTCACGCAGAAGCAGAAGAACAAGTGAAACATTCAGCTTGTATTAAGAACAGTTTTGACATTCAGGTTTTAGGAAAGTAAAAGAAAGCCCGACACACACCAGCGGTCCACACTTACTTTCTTCATCTATTTTCAATTCTTCATTGTTTTTGATCTTCTCTGCAATCTCTTTTTCATTAAAGCCCTTACTTGCCAAAAATTTAATTTTATATTCATCCCAGGACACATGGCCTGTAAGAAAGAGCCATATCTCAGACATGACATGCAAGCTTAAATGACAAACTTTTGTTCTCATTTATATCCATCACACTAAGCTTTATGAATGGCAAGATGAAAACTATCACCTGATTCACTTTTCTGTTTCTTTAGACCAGACAGGCCTTGTGAAAATAACCTATTTATGTCACCGTCCTCCCCCATTCCTGGCTGAGCCACTGAACTTGTTACAAGTTCCTACGACCACAAGTGAGGTAACACAGCAGTCAACACAGAATTACAATGCTGCCTGGAGCACATTACTACTTTGCTCAACTGTTTTCTGTATGGATCAAACCCCTTGTGATTACACACAGGCCAAAGGAACCTGGATTTTGTCACAGCACACCTGAGGAACAGCCAGCAGGTTTGGCTCCTAGAAACTAACTCAAGATGTCATCAGGAGATGGAGGAATCGTTCATCTTACCATCACCATCAGGGTCCACAGCTCGGAAGTGCATTTTATTCTCTTCCACAGCTTCCTGGAAATGTTCATCCGTCTTTTCCATGATCCAGCGCTGCATCTCTTTCGCACCTATCTTTTTATCATTATTTATATCCACCCTATGGATGAACGGCAAACAAGTTTAGACTCAGAGGTTGGGGGTGGTGGTGGTGTATTTTCAGATTCTAAACTAATTACTTCACTCAACAATAACAAAAATAGGTTGCTACAGAAAAGGGTATATTTATAACCCTCTCTGAGAAGTTGCACATTCTTTGAACTACAGAGTAAACAAGTAGCAAGTCAGCCATTCATTTCACAATTACATTTAAGTAACCACAACATCTAGGTTACTACTCAGTGAAAAACATTCAGTTATACTTGCTTTGCTGTAAGTTAACTCATTCCAATATTATGCTTTGGAGTAATTTTTTTTTTTTTAAAGTAGAGGAAACCACAAATACATCACTCACGGCGTATTAACTCAATTCCTATTGGTTCAGAACTGGCAACTACCAGCTGCTGCAGACTTTCACTACTTTGAAAAATTGCTTCTCTAACATTCCTTCAAACCATTAACTCCCTCTCAATTTATCTTTCCAAGTCCTTTTTACCTTGATCTTCCAAGACCTCTGAAGTTTATTGATGAGCTGCCTCCTTGTATCTACCTAGATCACATTACAACTGTCGTGACCATTAAAACCAACAAAAAATAATGTGAATAACCTTGGTGCAAGGACTTTTGAACTATTTGACTATAATACTTTAAGTGGAACAAAACAAACAAACCAAGTTTCCTCTATTATACCTTGATCTCTGGTAACACATTACAAATGATAGTTTTTAATTCTTAACACATTTTTAGAAGTTCTGCACATACATTTCCGTTAGGTTTCTGAGTTATCAGGCTCACTTTGCTTTGCCAAAGGACATGCTTGTACCAGTGCTATTGAGCTACAGAACCAAAGTTTTTCTACCCAGCTGAAATGATCAGTAAAGCCCAACCTGACAACCCACTCTTCTCCTGAATGTACTACCAATACCGCTGTATTGAATTAAGACACACTGCTATATCATCAATTCCATTAATGCTTAGTTAATTAAGAAGTTAATATAAAAAATTAAAGTTGAAGAACAAATCCACTTTAGGGGTTTTTTTTTGTGTGCATATCATGAAGTATTTATTTTAAAAAGATATAACTATTTTTAAAACTGAAAAGACATCACTAACATTTCAGAGGCAAGATTCTATTTAAAGCATACCAAAACCACCCTTGTTCAATTGAAAAAAGAAAGAAAACCAACATAGAAAAACGCAACAAAACCCCCTAGCTTGACTCTGGTTTTTTTTTATCTGCTTGTATCACTGTCTTATCAGTTCTGAAGTGTTATAATTGAAACTCAAGTTATTAAATATGTGATTTGCCTTTAAATGTCAACTAAATGTTAAGAGCTTAAGCTAAATAACAACCCCAGCACCTAATCTTCTACAACACTTGGCTGCATTAATAAATGCAGTATTAGTGGTTTTAAATACTGTATCACATCTTTCCACGCATATAAGCACGGGCTCAGTACTAGCAGTTTTTCAGTATTAATGGCAAGACCAGTAAACTGTTCACGTTCCACTTGCGCCACCGAACACTCACCAGGTGAACAAATGTGGGTTTTGATATGGAATAGGTACTGTCAAAAATGAGAAGGGAAGAAAGACAAAGCACTTTCCCCTCAACATTTAACATTCTGGTTTCCTTAGATCAAAGCTATTGAACTTACTACTTCCGAGCTGTACTCTCCATCTAAATCACGTTGTAACTAGGGAGAAAGGTAACAAACATCCCATTTATTGTGCTCTAGCTCATGAAAGCACACCTTTGTTCTGCTACCACAGTTCACAAGAAGTCTGCAATGACTCAGATTTTCATGAGCTAGCAGGGATCCATCGTCCAAGGTGAGCTGAAATCCTTCCAGTGTCCATAAACAGCACTTCTGCTTTTGAGAGGAGTATTTACAACTGTATGAAATAAGGTGTGGTCCTGCTGGACCCGTGTTACCATCTAAGGCCTTAATAAAAAAAAAAAAAAAAAAGACTGTCAATGCTTCCTTGGATAACGATCTCATTCAGAACGGACTACTGAAAATATTTCAACTAAAAATGACAAGCTTAGATAATTACATGTTGCCGAACAACCTAACACTGGTAAGTCACAGAACACTGATTTTATAACATGGTGATGGGCAATCAGTTTTCTGAGACAGATAGGCCTGAACACTCAAAAGGTGTTAGTTAAGAATGGTACATTCTAATGCACTTCTTAAAAAACTTGCCGAAGAACAAGTACTGGCAAGGAAGAATTTAAATTCAAGAGAAGATGAATCCAAGCAAGAGCATCATCCCAGATTACAACTTTGCTCAAGCCCTTGTTAGCAAAGTGTGTATAGAAATCTTGTGACAATTTCTCAAACTTCATGATATACCAGCTCAAAAAAAAAAAAAGTTTAAAAATATTGCTCTTTTTCTACAAGAAGCATAGTTTTCTGCTAAAGAATGCTACCTCAAATCTGTAGAAACTCAGGTGTATGAGGTACTACTTCCCCAACTGACAGCAAATTTTTTTAAAGGCAGGGACTACCATTAGCAGAAATTTGAATTACAAAACAAGACTACAGACAGCAACTTACCTTACTGCTCACCTGTCTCATTTCAAACAAAATTATAGATAAACCACAGCCCAGACAGTAGCTGATGCAACGTGACCGATGTCCTCAGAACTTACACATTTCAGTAATGGGCAGCACCAGACATAACAGCTCCTTATAATGTCTAAGTTCAAGGTTAACACTTCACTGACTATGCAAACTGTCTTTCATTAGCTATTCACAGCCTAAATGTTAATAATTAATACCTTTGAGTAAGAAACAATCAATCAAATACGCTACTTAAGGAAAAAATTACAGTTATCCTACAAAGCCTATAGTAAGGGCTGCATTGAATACAGATGTCAAGCCTGGAAGAACAGGTTTTAAACACTTCAGCTCCATTTCTCAACCACAAGCCATTAAAAACCAGATTTTTGTGGCCACCTTTCAAAAGGTCCACATCTGAAAGTATCATAAGTTGGCCACTCCAGTTTTCAGATTCATGTCTTCAGGTTCCTAAATGACAACACCCCAAGGCTGCCTGAGGTACTGGGCGGGGAGCAGGAAGGCAGTGTTCTTACATGAAGGATTAAAGATCACAACTCCCTTGAGCACCTAATGCAGATCCCTTTAAAGTTGGTTTCTGCTTCATCTAAATAATAGTCAAATCAAAAAAAAAAAAAAAAAAAAAAAAAGATCCCGAAAAGAATTTTTAGTAACACAAAGCAAAGCTCTACTTCCCATGGTAGGATGTATGCAAAGTTTTACTAGGTGTATATTTAAACATACAGGTTGGGAAAAGCACAAATCAGGGTGCGCACGCTACCTAAAACTTACCAACAGCATACAACATAAACGTTCCTTTAACCGAACAATACAAATCTGTACTCTAAACCAAAGATAACAAAACAGGAAAGGTTAAAATGTCCCCTTCTCCTCATTCTCGACTTTACCTGCTGTTGTCCAACATGGGCTGTCATTTCTAGCACTTTCCTGCCACAGACTGGATGCATACCAGTAGAAATTCATACTGCGTTAGGCTGAGACAAACCTGAAATTAGGTCTTGCCCTGCGTGCAGTCTGAACCCAAATGGACAGAGCTCTAAAGTCTCAAGTGAGCCACATTTACAAGCACTGTGGGATTCAGAAGGCATTCTGGTTTAGGAAACTGTAAGTTCATGACTTTTAAACAATGGGGAAAAAAAAAAACCAACACCAAAAATATCTCTGTACATGGTAGTATTTACAGAAGGTCCATTGAAGCTTGTGACCTGATGAATGACCGTCAAGGTAGGACACTTAGCTAACACAAAGATTTTAATTTTTAAATCACAGCTGTCACTAAGTGGCTGTGAAAACATCAGCAAAATGCAAATGCTAGGAGGAAACTCCACTTTCAAACTTACAGAGGTAGGTAACTCCATCACCACCTGGCAGAAACCCCACACATTACATTCTTCTGTAATTGAATTTACCAGGTTTGTTGAGTACGGGCAATTTAAAAGATAACTGACCCTTAGAACCAAGGCTCAAACTGGATTCTAGTACCCAGTGCTACTGATTTAGCAAAACCATGCCACCATAAATACACTTGATTGCTTTCAATATCTTCCTCCTTCCCTCTCATCAACACCCACCTCCACAAGCTAAACGACACTACACAGCAAATGAATTTTCTACAGATTCCAGGCTAATTTAAACGATTTAAATGGAGACGAAAGCAAATGGGGTTTTTTTGGTAATGACAAGAGAAAGGCTGTCACATAAGCTCCCTCACAGATATTCTTGACCTGAAGATATCTGAACACTTACCCCTGGGCAGGGAAAGAAGACGAAAAAGCGACACCCAGGATTTTCTGCACCATGCCCTAATTTCACAGGGCAAAGTGAAAGGACTGGTTAACTTGTAAAAACCCACTTCTGTAGAAAAGTAAGGCTCGACCTCCCCGTAAAGAGTGACTGCAGAAACTGAAACACAGAATTATGAAAGGCCACTTGTCTTTCAGTCACATAGAGCTCGCTTGCCTAGAAAAACATGGCTTGGGGAGCTTTTCTTCCACGTTTCTACTTTATTTTCAGTAATCCTATTAATTCAATGCATACATCGTTATCTAACTACTTTGTACCATCCCGGCACGTCACAATCTCAGCTGACATTAATTAATAAACACATTGTGTGTGTTTTCTTTGTGTCTTCAAAGAAAATATTTCCAAAGCATCTGGAAGCCTGTGACTTACTAGCTTTTCAGAGAAGTTCACAGTATTTCTCTTTTCACTCAGCCTTTAAGAGCATGCCTAGAAAGCAATCAAATTCCTCAGAACGCTTTACTACATTTCTAATCTAATCAGCTGATGGAATGCAATTTTAAGTATCTGAGTGATACTTAAATGAAACTGGATCCTGATTCCAAGTGGTTTAAGCTTCCTAAGACAATCTCTTTCATAACAAGGAGACAGAAATGATTAGGGTTTGCAATCTGCGTATGACAATTTACTAACTACCAGTTGAATGTTTCCAATAAACATAGCAATAAAAAAAAATGAAAGCTTCTAAACACAATATTTCTGTATATCCTACCAATGAAGTGAGTGCTCTCTGCATAGCAAATCTAAGAATAACAGCCTCCACCTAAAGGAAAAAGACATTCTGGTTTGCCTATTTGCTTTAGCTGCCTTTACACAGGAGAACACTAGAAAAAAAATCCAGTATTATTATTGATATTTTTTCCCTGTTAATGAAAAGTTTGCAGAAAAAAAGCTTTGTAAGCCTTCTCATTTTATCTCAAGTATACACACATCCCCACACCACCATCGTTAAGAGCACCAATGTAGTTTAAGCTGTTCTAATAAGATTAATCTTCCATTGCAAAAACTCAAAGCCAATTCTGCCACCTAGTGTCTAACAGTATGCTCTGATTTTGATTTCCATTTCAATTCTGTTAACTGACCTCCAAACATCTGACAGTTTATTAGATGGCACAAACCTTACCTAGCACAAAAAGTGCTTTATAAACGGGAAAATGCTCTAATGTCTAAAAGTAAAGTTAATATTGTTGTACCAAGTAAACAGCTAGCTGAAGTTTTCAAAAAAGCTACCAAAAAAAATTTAATCTTTCTATTCTCATGTTTCATTCTCATTCTTTTTTCTTTTTCTAAATTCAGGGGAGGTAAATGTATTGTTAACAACATTGCTAACTGAATGAAGAAAAGCTGTCATATTTTCTGAATTCTCGGTATGTGTAGATAGGCATAATTATTTTTAATTTCCATGTATTTCGTGTGAAACACTTGAATTTTAGACACTTGACATCTACTAGAAAGTTTTATGAACAGAAAACAACTGTTTACCACAATCTTTACTATTACTATTTCAGTGGTTTTCCTCTGCAGTTATCTTCAGAAGACACAACAGAAACACAACCAAAATCCATAGAGAATATGACAAAATAATAAGAAACTTTGATCGTGAACTGAAATTAAACTTACAGCAAAGCAAGAGAGCATACTCCTGCTAGAACAAAACTGTAACTCCCACCCTCACAATTCATTGCAGGGACATCCTGACAACACCCTTCGTTACTAATTCCTTGATCTAAGGTACAAGTGTGATTGATTACTCATTGAGCCAGGAAACCAAGAAAAATATTAATTTTCCTACCTCAGGAGGCTAGGTAGGTTTTTTTCACTCAGAAACAGTCTGTTTTGTAACGAATTTTACAGGCCACAGCACCAGTCCTGTATAATGATCGTGACTCTCAACACATCCATCCTCGCTCCCGAGAATGGTCTATACAGGTACGTTAACACCTTCACAACATGAGCACTGTGCTATAGTACAATGCTTTCCCCCTCATCATTACAATTCTTAAATATTACAGAAAAAATTGCAAATTGTACTCTGAAGACCAGAGAAAGAGGCTGCACTGTTCCTGGCAAAGTACAAAACTTACTTTGAAAAGATGACCATGAGTTTCTTCCTATTTTTTCTGGGTTCTGAATCTTCTTCAAACTCTTCCATCTCTTTTCCTAGAAAAACTTCTTGATGAAATTCTTTGTTAAGATGTCCATCCATCTCCATTTTGACACCGTTCAAGTGATCTGGGGGTAAGATCTCATTCTCATCTTTACTGTCAGCTGGCTTTTCTTTGAAGGCTGAATTATTTGCAGGCCTTGCATAAACATCCATTAGAAGAAATACAAACAGAAGGGACAAATACAGAGATCCCAAACCGCAGAGAAAGGCCTGTCTTGACATCATTTTTTCCTTTTTATTCAAAGTATTGGCCAATTACTGTGAATGGATTAAATGATCTAAAAACAAAATGGGGAAAATGGGGAAAACACAAGGAAATTAAACTCTAGAACGTTATGTCACTAATAGAACATTTCCCAAAATTTCGAAAAACTTACAATTATTTCCCATAAAAGAATAAAAAAGCTCACTAAATAATAAATACACAAGAAATTAATCTGTGTCAGTTTTCAGTCTGCACAATTGTAACCCCTGTCAGATGACTTTGGAAGATAACACCCTTTAAGTGGTCTAGTTCTTCTCCGAAAACTGTCTTCAGGTATTATGGCGTGAGCTGACCTGACAGCTAAAACCCAAACACTACTGAGATGCCAACCCAGCGCATGAAGCACACACTGACCGAAAATGCCCCCGATACCAGCACTGCACATCCAGCAAGCTGCAGAAACAGCCACGACAGCACCACAGATCTCATCACACCACCTCTTTTAAGACTGAAAAGTGCAAAGGTCTTTTTGGAAAGAGGTGACCGAGAGAAATACCATTACAAATGCCATCACATCAAGCGGAGCTGGAAAGACACGGGAATCAGCCGGCAGGAAAAGCAACCCCAGGGGCGGACCTGTCATGACCTACTTGGCGGAGCGTGAAAATCGCTGCCACGGAACGAGTTCGCAGACCGCAGGGACAGAGAAAAGGACAACAGCTGGACAGCCAGAGCGTCGGGGAGCACAAAACCCACAGACCCGCCCCGGGGTGCAAAAAACCCAGAGGCAGAGCAGAGCCCTGGGCAGGGAGTACCCGCCCAGCCCGCGGCAGGCCCCACAGCCCGGTCGGCGACGGCCAACTCTCCACAGGAGAAGGGGAGCCCGGCCGGGGCCGCCCTGCCCGGTCTGAGGGGCCACACGCACTCACCCAGCTCCGGGGCGCTCGGAGCCCTCCGGGAAGGCTGACAGGCCGCGGGGAGGCCCGGCCTCGGCTATCGCTGCCCCGGGTGCCCGCGGCGGCCCCTCACGGGCGGGTGTCCGCGGCGCG